CCAAATTGTACATATTTCGCCGTTATACAATATTTATCGATAATTTTTTAGAAATAAAAAATAAAATTTAATAAAACTAACCTGAAATCTGTAGAATATCGGTGATATCATGATGTGTTGAAACAATCTCAGTATCTGCAAAATAAGAAGTCTAAATTAGATACAAAACACGCTTTTTTTTCTTTTTTGTATAAGCAGTAAGTATGCAGGTACTTGAATAATGTGCGAAGCAACAATAATGGTTTAGTGTTTAACTGGCGAGTGTGCGGGCGAGCGTGAAAACCGCAAGACACCAGTCGCGCACAACCACAAAAAACACAAGAAAAAAAAAAGGAATTAAAGTCAACAACGTTTCATGAAAATTGCATCTGACGCATGTGCAACGTAGATTAACTCAACTTTCATCAATTTCAATATTAATCACAATCAATAGTATTATAAATTAGTTTAAAATCAATGTTTTATTATTTTTTTCTAATAAAATTGCTATTGCAAGCAATAAAATTACCCAAGAAGTGAAAAATAGGTAGAAAGCACACCGCCTACGTGCCAGACACAGCAAACAAGTGATAAAATAAATATAAAAGCTCAAAAGTTACTTGAAAGGGCAAAAAACATGAAAAAACAAATTTTTCACCACAAAAACCTCCATAATTCTAAAAATTTAGAAGAATTCAGTCATTTTATAATAAAAGATTGATTATAACACTACTAGTATTCAAAGATATTGATAAAAACGTGCTGGTATGCACAAAAATACAAAAAAATATTTTTTACTTAATTGCAATTATTTATTAATAGATAATTTTATCCACGCGCACTTTTTGCATTCCGTCCAGTCACGATCAAAGCATTCACACTATTAGATAACACCCAGACAATAACCGGCAACCATCGACAATGAGCAATAAACGCAATCACACATCTAATGAAAAACTAACCGCTTCGAAACCAATAAATTTAATTACTACATATTTAAGTACAAAACCATGTAGGTAAAGACAAAACAAATCGAATTTACGATAAGTGATTTTATTCTCTACTTACAAGCGTACTTAAACTCAACTAAAGTAGAATGCGCATGCGTACATTTAAATTTAGCAAAAATATGTTACTTCACGCACGCTCGCTGGCACTCCGCGAGGCCGCCAGCACCTTTACCAACCTCAAGGGGCTCAACTTTCGGGGCCTGGCTCTACTGCCATAAGCCTATAACCATTCGGGGACCACTAAGAATATGTGTACAAATTTTCATGATGATCGGTTAAGTAGTTTTTGCGTGAAAGTGTAACAAACATCAGGACTTTCGCATTTATAATATTAGTTGGGATTTCTGTTCTAAACAATAAAAATGTTTAACTTAGTATAAAATTAAACCAGTTTTAAGTAATATTTCTAACTCTAGAGCAGAAAAAGCATGTTTTCCACACTAAAACTGAAAAAAATCATTTTTTCTCAGTAATGGCAATATTTCTAACCTAAAAAACATTGAGAATATTAATTTAAATAAAACATTAAAACATTTTTGAAATTTTTACAGCTCTAAAGTAGAAAACATGGTTTTTCCACGAAAAAATCAAAATTTCACATTTATTACTCGATTATACCCGTACATTCAATTTTCCCCATGAAAACTGAAACATTTAATAGAGTATTTTACTTTAAGCGGTTGTTCAACCCTTAAACGTTTAACTCAACTCCATCTCTTCTATCGATTTGGCGTGTGGGGCACCGACTTGTACGTTGTACGCATCGATTTTCCGCCGCCGAAAAATGTTACGACACGACACGAATTCTGATCTCAAAAAAAAACGAAAATTTGTTTATTATGTATTATATATTATATAATACAATATATCGAGGTGATTATTTTAGATTTCGTTTGTGTTACTTGTATTGTGGTCGCGTGACGAGGGATTAATGTGCCCTTCGAAATCCATATAAATATTTTCCTTTTTTTCGCTTCTCGTGTCGGCATTTTTCGTAATCCATCATCGAATCACACAGTTATCGAAAAGTTTAATTCACGCACGCGAGTATGCTCAGGTAAACCGCTTAGCGACATATTTTCATGTGATTTTATGGTTGAAACAAGAATAAATAAATTTAAAAAATAAAATTTTGTGTTTTTTTTTTGTTGCTTGAGGATTAAATTTTGATAATAATTGAATACAGGTGCTCACGTAGATGCAAATGATCGTGCATTGTTTGTTTCTGTTTGTATTGTTTGTTATTGTCGTCGATTGTTTGTACGCCCGGTCATTATGGTATTAATAATGACGGCGCCGTGCAACGGTGCAACACCTCCCACACACGCTCGCGCACGTTTATAATCGTGATTATTATTAATGCGCTTGTACTCGCCGGGCTAAACTCACGCACTTTCTTATAAGGAAGTTGTAGACATTTTATTACAATGAAGAGAAATAGAATTCAAGTTGAATATAGAAGATTAAGTGCGTAAAATGAAAAAGTTTTAAAGTTTAAAAGTTTTAGACATGCTCAGTGAAAATTTTTATCAAAATTAAGGTTAAGTTAATTAAAAATTTATAAAATAGCAAAAAAATAAGCTTTACTGCAATAATTTATTAAAAAATGACCAAAATTCTTGTAAAAAGTAAAAAAAGGAAGAAATTATAAACGAATTTTGTATTTTTGGACAGATAACTGTGTTTTCGAGATGTTTATGTTGAATATTGGCGATTAAGTGCGTAAAATGAAAGTTTTAGACACGCTCAGTGAATATTTGAGTCAACTTTAAGGTTAAGTTAATTAAAAATTCAGAAAATAGCAAAAAATTAGTTTTACTGCAATAATTTAATAAAAAATGACAAAAATTTTTGTAAACTGAATAAAAAGCAGGTAATTATAAACAAATTTTGAGTTTTTGTACAAAAAAATTAGGTTTTTAAGTTGTTTAAGTTGAATATTGTTGATTAAGTGCGTAAAATGAAAGTTTTAAACACGCTCAGTAAAAAAATTTAAGTAAAATTTAAGTTTAAATCAATTTTATAAAGAAAGTATTGCCAAAAATAAAGTTTTACTTTATTAATTCAACAAAATTATTCAAAATTAATGAAAAACATAAAAAAATAACTAATTATTAATAAATTTTGAATTTTTGCTCAGGAAAATATGTTTTCATCTACAAAACAAGATTTCTCCACGAAAATAAATCCAAAAAACTAAAATTTTAACAAAAACAAACAAATTTTTCAAAAAATAAATTATTTGCGGTGTTTCAAAAAGAAAACAACCTGTAATTTACAAAATAAAATAACACAAACTAAACACACTGAAAAACTGAAGAAAAAAATTAGCACGTGGACGAAATTACTTACAAACTCGTAAAAAATAAGAAATAAAAAACTCTAAAACTTCAAAACACCCGACGCAAAATCATCACCAATCGTTAAACACATGCAAGACGAAGATCATGTGTGAGTGTGGTGCGTGCAGTCTCAAAGATGATAATTACACTTTACGTGCACGTGCTGCGCCACGCACTCGCCATTATCGGCGCCACAAAAGTGCACTACTACACCAACACACACATATCAGAACATCACAATATGTGGCTATAGAAAACACGAAAAAATATGCACGGTGCTCCCGAAACACGCCCTCAAAAGCGCACACTTCTCTTCTCTTCTTTTCTCTTCTCAATAAACAAAATCGGATATTTCTATGAAAACGAACCAAAAAGAGTGATGAATACGAACGTATTCGATTATTAGTAGGAGTAGAAAACGTGTTTGGAAGCACTTTTCGAGCCCTTTCTCAAACGACGAACAATCGACTGTTTTCGAAGCACCTGGTTCCGCAAATAAGATTACTGCACGATATATAGGGTATAGAGATATTTGGATATATTCACGCGGTTCGGAGAACTGTGGAAACTAGGAGAAAGGATTAGCGTCATTCATGAGCGAAAGGATTATCGATATATTAAAATATTTTGGGATGAATAAAGTGTGACAAAAGTAGTATTTGCATTGTGCTCCAATACAAATATTTCACATTTTCGCATTTCATAGTGTAAACATTTTGCTACAGCTGACACATTTACTGTGTAGATGTAGTGATGAAAATTGTAACAATTATGCACAAGTTCAGTTAGAGTGATGAGAAATTAAAATCGCACACAAACAAATTGATGGAGTGATGGTGTGTGTGGGTTTAAGTGGGCAGGCAGAAGATGGAAATGATAAAATTATAAAAGTCAACCGGGAGGGATGCAATTTGCGCGTCAATTATTCACGTATGAAAAGTGGGTTTTACGTGGAAAGCACACCGACGCAGGCAGAGTCAACTACGAACGCGATAAATTGTAATTTACGACATCAAAGAAATGAGCAAACAGTCAAAGCACTCAAACAAATCAAATAAACAAATAAATAGAACATTTTACCTGTGTTATAATATACTTAAATATAGTTTAACCTCTTTATAATGATATTTATCATGTTATATAGATTTGACATTAAATCAAAGGAAAAAATAATCAAATTTTGTGTTTTTACGTGGATAGGCAACTGTTTAATTTTTTGTTGCGCTGGTTATAAACTCAATTCCTCTTGTAAAAATGCCGGTAAATATTTCCTGAAGTCTAAATATATGAATTCACGCGTCGCTCAGTTGTATTCACTTGTGTTATGTTTAAATAATGATTTTCTAGTAACGCAGCATTACTAACAAATTAGCTGAAAATCGTGTGCTTAAGTTATAAGAAATTTGCATTGCAATTTGTAGGGATGTTGGGATCTCAATTACAACAATATTTCAAATGTTACCATCGATGTCTTGTCTTTAAAAAATATTCCCTTAGCTCGCGAAAATTGCTAGAAGTAAAGAAAATATTTCGTCGTTACCTAGAGAATCTGTAACGCTATAACGAGAAGTAATATAAACCAAACAAATTGTACATATTTCGCCGTTATACAATATTTATCAAATAATTTCTTAGGGAAATAAAAAATAAATTTAATAAAACAACACAAATCTGTAGAATATCGGTGATATCATGATGTGTTGAAACAATCTCAGTATCTGCAAAATAAGAAGTCTAAATTAGATACAAAACACGCTTTTTCTTTTTTGTATAAGCAGTAAGTATGCAGGTACTTGAATAATGTGCGAAGCAACAATAATAGTTTAGTGTTTAACTGGCGAATTAATGCGGGTGAGCAGTAGCTCCTGGGTTTTACCGATCGCGCTTTTAACCACAAAAACACAAGAAAAAAGGAATTAAAGTCAACAACGTTTCATGAAATTGCATCTGACGCATATTGCAACGTAGATTAACTCAACTTTCATCAATTTCAATAGTAATCACAATCAATAGTATTATAAATTAGTTTTAAAAATCAATTTTATTATTTTTTTTTCTAATAAAATTGCTATTGCAAACTAATAAAATTACCCAGAAATTGAAAAATAGGTAGAAAGCACACCGCCTACGTGCCAGACACAGCAAACAAGTGGTAAAATAAATATAAAAAGCTCAAAAGTTGCTTGAAAGGGCAAAAAAAAACATGAAAAAACAAAATTTTTCACCACAAAAACCTCCATAATTCTAAAAATTTAGAAGGTGGTCATTTTTATAATAAAAGATTGATTGTAACACTTTACTAGTATTCAAAGATATTGATAAAAACATTAACTTAGTATGCACAAAAATACAAAAAATATTTTTTTATAGTACAGTATTTATTAATAGATAATTTATCCACGCACTTTTGCATTTCCACGTCCAGTCACGATCAAGACATTCACACTGTTAAGATAACGCAGACAATAACCGGCAACCATCGACAATGAGCAATAAACACCAATCACACATCTAATGAAAAACTAACCGCTTCAGAACCAATAAATTTAATTACTACATGGAAATTTAAGTACAAAACCATGTAGGTAAAGGAACAAAACAAATCGAATTTTGATAGGTGATTTTTATTCTCTGCCCTACAAGCGTACTTAAACTCAACAAAGTAGAATGCGCATGCGCACATTTAAATTTAACAAAAATATGTTACTTCACGCACGCTCCTTTAATACACAGAACATAAACACGCACTTTCTCAACCTCAAGAGACTCCAACTCAAGACCTACCTGTTGGCTCACTGCTGTAAACTGCACCGAAAATCACTTCTTCATAACCGACTTAAGCACTGTTTAATGTCTCTGACGTCTTTATAGCTTCCACATGCGCAGTTTCTCACCCTACAAATTGATAATCGAATATTATTGATACGTCTTTGTGGTTTTTTTTAATGTTTTACACCTTCTTGTTGATGTTTTCTTGTGACAGACAGCAAGTATGCTTAAATAACACTCTCACACACCGAAAACTGGACGACACTCGGACGACACCGAACACTGCGACGGACATCCGTACGGAAGACACACGCGCGCGCGAAAACAATTAATTTACGAAATTACGCTGAACGCATCGGACACATCGCACTGAGCGGACCAGCAAAGGCCAGTGGTGATACTGTCAAACGCGAAATGAACGCGAATGGCGCGCGCGGACGCGATGACTTTCAGCCGAGCGCGGCGTGGATACGTGCGCGCCGGACGGCGGGCATCGGGACGGCGTGGTGCAAGGTGCAAATCGCGAGGAATTCCGAAGATCGCGCGCGATTATTACCTGCGAGGCGGGCGGAAATTTGATGCGCGCCGAGTCGCACCATGTTGTCTTTGAATTAAGCGCAGTTTGATACATGCAGCGACATCTAGCGGCGCAAAATTTAACTTGGTTATAATTAATTTAGTTATTAGCTCTTAAATGCAGTGAATGTCACAAAAATTATTAAATAATTAATAAATAGAGTTTAAAAAATTATATTTAATACTAATTTTATAGTTTTCTTTAGTGAAAATTAAAATATTGATATATTTTCTTTCCAAATGGTACATGCAGCGCCACCTATGAGCACGTTTAGTAAGTTTTTTTTACATTCAAGGACAAAAGTTGACAAAACAACTCCAAAATGATGAAAAATTTCATATTTATTGAATAATAACGTCTACAAAAAGAATCTCCTCCTGCTAGTTTCCATTTTATGTCGTTTGCCATCAATAATCCACTCATACTGCCCATATTTACTATCAAAAGTACCTTTTTGTAGAGATTTTAACTTTAGCGTAAATCTTGGACCTAATTCTTTCAAATTTGTTCTTTTCCCTTCTTTATCAAAATTGTATCTGCACAAAAACATTAATATTAATTAGAAAACAACTTATTTTAATGCTTTAACTAAAATTATTAGTAAATTTAATGAAAACTTACTTGTAATGCCTGAAAAAAATAAAATCTCGTTGATTATGAAACGTGACGCATCTTTGTCCTTGAAATTCAGGACTGTAATGAAACAAAGCACCCAACATTCGCCCAATTCCTAAACCCAACCGAGTTGTAAATTGATTCAAGACCACTTCAGGTCTATGTGCACTGATGTGTCTGTAATTTTTCCGCATTTCAGTTGTGATCCTTACATTACTCAATTTGAAGTGTGCTGTGGGTCCATCTGGTAAATGAATGACAAGTAAACCATTGGGTTCCTTGCGGTTTTCGTTTACAATAACAATATCTGTGAAGTTTTCATTGAGCGCACTTTTGACGATTTTCTTTACACCGGACCGATTTCGGTAGTAACTGGAGGAATTCGGAATGATACGGGTTAATTCACGTCCAAATATACGAGTTTTCTATTGTAAAATATTAAAAATAATTAAAGAAATTAAAGATTTAAGTAAATTCAAATTTTATGGATAAAACTTACTTTTGTTGGATTATCTGAGTAAGTAATCAACACTTTTGGTTCATATTCATTCTGGTAGTAAGTGGAAAACTCGTCGTTGTCTAAATCTGCTTTAATAACTTCATTTTCTTCTGTTGTAATATCATCAATAGTGGTTTCATCTTTTTCTCGAAGTGAATCTAATGTATGTGGGACTTTTTTAGGCACCCCTTCAGTTTTTTGTTTAGCTTTTAATGCTTTTTTAGCCTAGGAGTATTAAATATATATATTAGAGCATGTAAAGATATATAATAATAATTAATTATACCTTTTTAGCTTCCTTTTTAGCCTTCAAATATTGTTGACTTCGAACTTGTTTGTTTTTTATGTTGTGGTACCTTAATTCAGTAGGAAACAACACATCATCGGGCTTAGAAGGCTTCAGGTCTTCCTCATCACTTAGATTCTCCACTTTCATGCCATCTTCTTCGATTAATTGGTCTTCTTCTTCGGAAAAATCATCCACCACGTGAGTTGCCATGTTGTTAATTTGAAAAGTATTTGGGGTTATGGTGTAAATGTTGGAGAATATTCCATAAAATAATTATTTCAACACTTAAACATAGAAAAACCAACAATATTTCGATATAAAAATTATAATTTAAGCATATAAAGTAAATTTTGAAAGAATTTGTGTTTATAGAAGAATTTTATTTACAAAAATTAGTAAAAGTAAAATACATATATAGGCAACCAATAATACACCAAACATATATCCTACAAACATCGCAAAACAAGCAAAAATAACAAATTCAATAAAAATAATCCCATTCAGAATTCCATTTAATATAGTATGAAATATATAAATTCCGATAACATTAGCAATATTTCTGCACTTTGCAAATCTCAATCCGAATCTCATGTGTTCCCATCTTACTAGACTTATCTCAACATTATTTTTGTACTCAACTACAACGCGCATATATTAATAGTAAAATAATAATTAACTAGTTAATTCCACTACATATTACCATAATATACATACATATTTATATAAATTTACAAAATTGAATCAACTACTTAACAAATATGCAAAAGTATATCACTGAAATACAAACTGTTAGCATTTTAGACAACTTTATCTTTGGAAATATGCACACACGCGTATTTCGGCGCGCATCCAACTTAAAAATAGCCCACATAGTAACTATGCTACAAGTTTACAACAGTTTACCGTTTGTTTTGCAAAATACACAGATAAAACTACACCTAACTACAAACAACTGTACAAATGTATGCATATGTGTGCTGTGACTTAAGTGCATTGTGCAATTACTTAAATCACAATGCTTGCGGGGTTGTATAATTTATTTTCATTAGAATATAAACACTGCCAGTTGATTTAAATGCATGTCATGTTTAAATTACTTGTACTTCTTGCATTTCGTGATCCTAACCACAAAAACTCAAACATTTTTGTACTTAAAACCAAAACAATCCAATTTTTGACTGAATCAGGTGATAATTACAATATAGAAAATTTCTGCCCAGCGAGTTCACAGTAATAAAATCTAAGTCTTTGTTATTGATATTATAATATAATATTATACATGTCATAAATGCATTTCTGTAACTAGCATCATCTACGAGTATAGTATTAGAGCGCTCTAATTTCACAGCCAACAAAAATCTTTGGTAGCATCTTGATAATTATGCCCTCTTTGCCATCAAATTTGGTACATATATTCAGCATCTTTGTCATGACGATATAGCTTAAGTTAAACTTGTTATATATGCTTAAAATAAAGATAAAAACATAAAATATAAATAAAATATCCAGCAGCGCTTTTAAAATCAAAGCCTGCAAGCTAAAAAGTGAAATTTGCAATATTCTATCCTCATGGTCGAGTAAAAAATATGTAAACCACTAATTCCCATTAATATACTTCAAAACCTCCAACTCTTTCCGCTCTTTTTTGTAATTTCTCGCTTCATACTCAAGTCTATTGCGAATAATCCTCTCTACAATCTTTTCCGTGGTCATATCATTGCCAGAATCAATAATTTTGAACTTCCCAATGCTTTTCGGCAGCACAAACGGATCTTTCCCGCAGACATCATGCATCACCGCAGTGGTACCATGAACCACAATGTCTACATTGAAATGTTCCATGAGATCTTTGGTGACTTCATACGGAGCGCCAATTACTACTTCATTAACGTATTTACAAGCCAATACACTTAGCACACGCTCGTGTAGATTCATAATGGGATAGTTTGAGCCTTTGTATCGATTAACAACTGGATCAGTGTGTAAACCGACAATAAGATAATCGCCATATTGTTTTGCTTTCTCCAGAAAATCCAAATGACCAACGTGGAATAAATCATACGCTCCAGCGACGTAGACGACTTTATCTCCTGGTTTCGGTGATAATCCATCGGAGAATTGAATGATTTTCTGTGTTGTTGGCAGGAATTGCGAGCAGCCGGTCCAGGGTGAGCGCGCTGTGGAGTCTTGGCCCATGGTGGATGAATGCTCCTTGGCTACGTTGTATTCAAACTGTCCCTGGCGGAAATGTTCACGGGTGAGGAGGAGCATTCGGCCGACGAGATCTGTTGTTGAAACACCTGCTGTTCTCTTTACTTCTCTGAAAATATTAAATAAATGTGTTGTAAAATGTGTGGAAATTTTACTATGTACAATGAATTACTTCATACTTCATAGTACAACAACGTAGTATATTTATTATTGTTTGCTAAATAATAATAATAATAATAATGAGCAAATATTTAAGACCTATTTATAGTTGTTTATGAATATTCATGGTGGAGTCTTAAAGTTAATGTTTTAGTTGTTTTTGTTTTAAGGCGGAAAAAATTGTGGTGTGATTTAAAAGCAGTTGAAGTGAATACGCGGGTATTGTTTGTGTATGGCATACAAGGCGGTGTGAAATTGAGGGCAAAGGTCGAAGGTTCGTCAGTGATGTGTGTGTGTGTTGTAATGATTGTAATTTACTTGTATGTTTGGTATTTGTATGTTATATGGGCTATAAAAATACCAATAACAATAAAGTCAGACGGCAGATTCAATTAAATTTATGGGATAATTAGTTTCGGATTTAGTTTTGCTTTTAGGTAATTTAGTTTTATATAAAAAACCTTGATTTTTGTTTTTTTATAGTTATTTGCACCTAATTAAACTTTTGAATAAAAACTGTTGTTTTATTTTATTTCTTATGCCTCTGAATAATGATGATAAAGAGACTGTGCCTTTTTATCACATTCTAGTGAGGTTTTGTTACATTGAAGAATAAAAATAATTAATTTTGAGATTTTACGTGGTCTGGCATCTGTTTTATCTATTGTAAGTTGGTTATAAACTCAATTACTCTTGTAAAAATGCCGGTAAATATTTCCTAAAGTCTAAATATGAATTCCGCTGTGCTCAGTTGCATTCACTTGTGTTATGTTTAAATGATTTTCTAGTAACACAACGTGCACCCCAACAAACCATCTCTGTATTCTCTACGAGCTACTCGTAATTCCGACGGCTGATGATGCCGATCGGATGTTGCGTACAATAAGAAAAACAAAGGCGCCGGTGAAGACAAACATTGGAGAAGATTCCCCGAAGGTTTTCTTATTTCGGCTGTTAATGCGTCGCGAGCAGGCGAGACGGTTAAACTCGCGTTTGCCAGCGCGCGCTTAAAATCATCACGACCCCTGCAAAGGCTATTTATATCGCACCCCGTAGAGACACGTAGACACATCGCACATGTGTGATACGAACGTGATCTTGTGAATGTAAATGCGCACGCAGCATCGGGAGATGAAAAGAATATTGTGTCTAAGATTCACAAAGATGGTAATCGTACTAATGGTGCTAAAAGGGTGAATTGGGGTTATAAATAGATTGTGTTTTTTTTTTCTTTTTCGTAAAAGCCTTCAAAACTCACATAATACTAAAATTTAAAATACAGAATTACGTTATAGAGAGGTGTTGGTATATCGAAGAACAAAATATAACCAAATATTAGCTTTTTTAAGTTTTTAGTTAAAATTCACACGTTTTACGAATTATTTTATCAGAAAACTAAGTTTTTATGTATTTTTGAACAAGTTATGCAACTTTTCAACCATAAAAATTATAAATTACGTTATTGCTTGATGATATTACATTGAAGAACAAAAACTAACAAAATATTGAGATTTTACGTGGATTGGCATCTGTTTAATTGCTTGTAAGTTGGTTATAAACTCAATTACTCTTGTAAAAATGCCGGTAAATATTTCCTAAAGTCTAAATATGAATTCCGCTGTGCTCAGTTGCATTCACTTGTGTTATGTTTAAATGATTTTCTAGTAACACAACGTGCACCCCAACAAATTAGCTGAAAAATCGTGCTAAAGTTATAGAAATTTGCATTGCAATTTGTAGGGATGTTGGGATCATAATTACAACAATATTTCAAATGTTACCATCGATGTCATGTCTTTAAAAAAATATTTTAGCTCATAATTGCTAGAAATAAAAATATTTTTCGTCGTTACACAAAGAAACTGTAACGCTATAATGAGGAAATTAATATAAACCAACCCAATTGTAAAAATTTCATCATTATACAAAGTTTGTCTTTTAACTTTTTTTTTTCAAAAGAACAAACGCATTCCAAACTACGTCTAATCTATAATTTTTTATATAAATTATTAATAACTGTGTGTATAAATAAACTAGGTTACTGACTGAAAATCTAAACACGTCTTTCATCGCCTGACCCTTTCGATTTGCGTAATGACTAGTAAATTATTGAACGATAAAAATACTGTACAACCACAACATGTGCTTGATCACATCCTATTCGTGACCACGACTCTCACAACGAAATCAATAATTTAATTACCTCACGAACTTTAATTAAGTAGAATAAATATTTAAAAAATATAGATAAAATTCCACTTCAATATCAAACTTCCAAGAACCAATGATGATACAATGATGCAATACATCAAATATTAATAACATTAAGTAAGGTCGAGAAGCAAGCAACCTCTAAATAATAAATTAAAAAGTCGATTGCTCACTGCTCCAATGACTAAATATAATGCTAAACATAATAAGCACAACCTTAGCAATCAATACAAACATAAAATAATAAAATATGCAAACTAATGATGAGGTGAGACGAGATAAGTGAAGGTATGAGTAACAATAACATCCGGTAAATTAAATTTACATCCCATGAATTAGTAGGATGAGTAATCGTAAAAATAAATTATGAAAAAATGTAAAACGCGTGAGATTATTGCTCAAGTTGTTTATAAATATTGAAAACTATACCGTAGATAATAGAAGAATGTTTTTATGAACGCATAGATAAAAAAAAACTAGATTAAAACGTTTTAAGTTAAGAAATGATTATTTTTTGTAGTAAAAATGACTTTTTTCTTTATTTTACATCAAATTAATCAGAAAACTTCCTCAAAACATGTAAAATGATACAAAAAACAGTGTAAAAACCAATCTAACCTAAAAATATTAATAAATTTCCATTCTACAAATAAATAAATTCAAAAAAGTAAAAATTTTGCAAATAAAGACCGAAAAACAGCAAAATTTGAGTAAATATGACTTTTTTCTTAATAATTAACAACAAAAACTTAACAAAACCTTCTCAAACAATACCCATAACATAAGAAACAATCTAAAACACCACCAAAATTAAAAATATTAATAAATCTCCCCTCTATAAATAAATAAATTCAAAAAACTTTAAAAAAATTATTTAAAAACCCAAAAAAACTGCTAACAATTAAATTATATAACAAAAAAGAAATTTTCCATAATCTCAAACCCATAAAACTACTCAAACATCCTTATCTCCCATCATAAATTATTATAATAATTAAATTAAACAAAAACTGCTTAATTCCACAGTATTTAACTGCCAAGTAAGCTCTACGTGATTATCGTATGATGCGGATGTACGAGTAAGGCACGAGTCCTACGTAAATGCGTAAAGCGACACATTGTTAATCAGTTAATCATCCGCAGCTCAACCAGGCCTGAGTGAAGTACAAAACAGGAAAATAAAAAACACACACCCAGAGAGGACATGGCATGACACGCGAGATACGCACGTCATTGGCGGGCATGATCACGCTATGCGTCCCAAAGTCTTCTCTCGCCTCGTATAAGCGCATATTCAACCTATTAACCTTCCTTATCACACGATATTTTACTCGAAAGAAATTAATTACACATCAAACTCAATGAAACTATGTTAAATACGAAATGAAAACGAAATTGAACACGTTTCTGATAACTTGTAACTTTAAACATTGCATATTTTTAGTTCTTGAGTTGGCAGATCATTAAATTAAATATTATATATGATCTATATCAATATATATCAATTGATGAATGAAATTTTGAAATGTATTTTAACTGCGCGTGTAAAATCAAGTTGTAAACATGCGAGTAAGTTGTAAACACGTTTCGCGAGATGTTTAGTGTATGGAATTACACTCCCGCTGATTTCGTCAGAGTAATAAGATGTATCTCGACATTTCCAGGTTTTCAAGGTTGTCTGACGCTAGCTTTACAAATGGAAATTCACTTGTTTTTTGCACCGTTGCCAATGACAACGCGAATAACAAACGCCATTTTGAAAAGTGGCAAATTTTATCTCTAGATGTAAAATTCAGCTGAATTAACAATAATTACACTCTAGAAATATTGTGTGCGTCAGAATTAGCGATAAATACTCCACTTTGTTAAAATTATTTGATTATTTTTACTTACTTATATCTGCCCGCAGCTTTAACAAGATGATACGTGTCAACCCCATCTGCAGTCATGGTGATATCATCGCCATGACAACAAAAATCGCAGTCATACTTGTCTAAAGTTTCCAGAGTAGTCACGTACGGAGCCCGTACGATATGCGCTCGCAGGCGGTATCCGGCGTCCCTGCCGCTAAAGCGCGCGACCGCTCGATATATGCGCTCCCCACCCAAGCAACAATTATATTTACAACTTTACAACACGTCAGATAACATTTTCGATGGTCTAAAACCAGATTTATCTTCATTTTTGGCTGCTGCGGACTGTTTTAACTGCCAAACAATTCAAACAAGGTTTTGTTACTGTATAGTGGGTTGCAAAAAATATATCTTGAGATATTAAACTGAAAATTAAAATAGAAAGCAAAGAAACTATATTTTTGATGAGATTATATCATTTTTTTGGACATTTTACATTGTATTTTATGTTTTGGCTTGGTTTTCTTTTTAAATTTAATAACATTTGTTCCACTGTTTTAAATGCAATATAGGCAACCACATATTCATCACAAAACCATATATAATTCAGTTTATATTCAAGTCAAGTTTTATTTAAATATTTAAATAGTTTAAAAACAATTATAAACTAAATTATCTTACTATAAATTTATTAAACTTATTTTGAACATTTTTAAATGTTCTTATATTTGTATATCCACTTTGGTCTGTCATCTGTCAAACGCTTTCCGTCCGTCATCTGTCAACGGTTTTCATTCAACAAGTGCATTATGGGAGCAGCGGATGAATGAATGGTGGCCGCTTTCCGTGCGTTCCTAATCAAGAATTGTAATCGGTGCAGAGGGTGTACGAGACGCATCACACCCCCGAGTGCATCTGGTGCAATTTCGTGCAGTTGTGCAGGCATTCGGACAGACACGCACACCGTGCGTGCAAGTGACGTGCGCGCGCGCTACCCCTGTGATATGCGCTTCGTCGCGGCATTCTCCACAACCAAAGCGAGCGCCCAGCAATCCGATAAGAAGAGGTCATCCCCGATGAACCTAACCCACGCACCCCGAGCGGAGCCGCTGTATTTGTAATCTTTTTTCATACAAACACACACGATTTAGGTAAGTGTGGGTGGATGGTGGTGGTGGTGGATAATTGACGCGGACGCGTCCTTGGTAATTTTCGCAAATGTCATCGCGATTTTATTTCGGTGATTCAACGATCCAATGATTGATTCGCAGCTTTAAAGACGCCAACATGTTTTGGAAGTATAATAATCCCTCGTCGTCGCAGCTGGAGACTATTCTCAGCAAACAAGTAAGTGTAGACATGACATAACCTAGTTTTACATACCAACTTAACAAAATATCAACATTTTTGTTTTATTGCAGGATGTTACACTTAAAGAAGTCATGGATGAAGAGGACATTTTAAATGAGTGCAAAGCTCAGAATAAACAACTACTAGAATTGTAAGTCATTATTTAAACTAAAACTTTATTAGAAATTATAAAAAAATAATTTTTAGTTTGATAAAACAAGAAGTCTTGCAAGAGTTGGTAACCCTGACTACAACAGAACCACCCGAGGATATAGACGAACGCTCCCGATTTAAATACGCTAATATTGCCTGTGAGATGATAACTTGCGACATTCCGTCGTTGAATGAGCGTCTCGCCGGCGATGAAACACTCCTGTCGAAACTATATGCCTTTCTGGATCGGGAGCCGCCTCTGAATCCACTGCTAGCGTCGTTTTTCAGTAAGATAATGGCCGTCCTCATCGCGAAGAAAACCGAGCAGAACTGGTTGTCTAACCAGGTTACGTGTATCCAAGTTATTGACTTCCTGAAAGCAAAGGATAACTTTGTCCAGCTGCTGCTCAACCACATCAGTACATCGGCGATAATGGATCTTACGCTCAAGTTGATGACGCAGGTCGTTGAAGTTCGACAAAATATTTTAAATGTAAATAATTTCATTTTTTTTGTGTTTGATGTAAATTATTGAATTGCAAATGTTTTAGTATTTGGACAGTCAGCGAATAATTCAAAATTTAGTCGCTTTGTTGGATCCGAAGGTAGACAGCGGCCGGCATAATAATGTTGCTCAATTGTTGCGCGATTTTATCGTGCAAGCGAGAGATAATCAGCGCAATTCTACTGAACGTATTGATCCCGATCCATTGCTAAATGCTTTAGAATCGTAAGTTTTATGTGCAACTATAGGCAACCAATATTACACTTCATGTTTTAGACCTGAAACGGTGGCTTTACTCTTGGACCACATTCTGGCCGAGGAAAAATGCGAGACTGCTATTGTTGGCGGTATTCAAGTACTTTTAGAATTGTTAGACGCCAATAAAACTAAGTACGTATCGAAAACAACCATTTTACACATTGTTTTATTAAAATTATTGATTTTTAGCATTCCGTTTGCATTCAATTACCCAAACGCCAACTACGATGACCAGAATGACAACGATGGCCGCCAGCGCGTGGTGGAATCAACGCTGAAAGAAATCCAGAAGCGTTTGAAAGACTTTCACAACCTGCTGCTGGATCCGCCGAAGAAGGCGTCCATATTAACCACGGTGGGGTTGTTGGAACCACCGTTGGGGAATACCCGGCTGCAGGTGACGCGCCTTCTTGCTACGTTGATTTCGATAGGCGGTGGTGAACTGGCGCAGGAGGTGATCTCTCTTGGCACCATGTCGGTTCTCATCGATCTGTTCTTCGCCTTTCCGTGGAATAATTTTCTGCACACGCAAGTCCAGGCGTGCATCTCCGCCGCCCTCAATTTTAATCTGCCCTCCGATCAGGGTGATAACATTGCCTTATCTAAACATGTAAGTTAATTATTTAAGCAGATGAAGAAATGTTGATGATAAAAATGTGTTCATTTGGTTGCAGTTATTAGTTAATTGCAAATTAGTCGAAAGGATTTTAGAAGCTTGGAAGGAGAATGATGAAAAAAGGTTTGTAGATGATTTTTAAGGTTAAATTTTTAGGTTAAATGTTTATTTGATTTGATTTTGTAGTGAAACGAGTCCAATTGGAAACGCACGCCGCGGCTACATGGGCCACCTAATTAATATAGCGAATATTCTAGTAATAATGTGCTCCGATACTCCATTAGGCATAATGCTTAAAGATAATTCGCCGGAGACTGCCGAGGCGCTGCGCGCTTTCAACGAGAATACGCTGACCGAGGCCAATCGCGTACGGGAAGCTCTGCTGGTAAGAAAAAACATTAATTTTATTAAATTTACATATTTTAATATGGTATTTAATTAAAGGCTGGAGTTCATCCGCACACAGTGAACGAAGACAGCGATGAATACGAGATATCATTTCCTACCGCCGGTTCCGGCTCACAAGTAAGTACAGCGCCCTCTATGTCGGCCATTTTGTTGCAAAACCAGTGTGTATCGTATCAAATAACTACAATTTTAGATTTTCACCGATTACCAAAACCAACAGCTATCTCTGGCAAATTTCTACGATGCGTACGGTGCGTACAATGATGAGGACTTTGAATTCAAGGACGGTGAAGATGCCTTACCGTACGTATTCATAGTTTACGTTTAATAAAATAAAAATTAATTGTATATTTTGTTGGTTTAGAACAATTGAAAGCCGTTCCGGTATGAATTTCGACCTCTCCGAAGGCGATTTGGTACAGCAGCACGAATTGTTTAAGCAGGTGTGTGCGCAGAATATCAACACATTGGATGATGCGGACGATCAAATTTTCGATGAGAAGGAACACACTTTTCAGACGGTTATTGAAAAAGATGCAGAGCGCAACAGTAGTAGTGATAGCGAGGAAGGTGATGATCCTTTGATGGAAGCTGAATGTAAGTGTAGTAGCCTAGATTTATATAACAAGTTAAATATTTTAACTTATTTGTTTAGTGTGGAATAGGCCGAATGAAGCAAGCGAAGCTCCGTCGATGATTATCTCCGAGGATCCATGGGGAGCTAAAAGTGACACGGCAAGTACAGGTGGCAGTGATTGGGCCAACTTTAGCGTTGCTGTGTTTGACGCTAAGTTTGATACAATCGAGAAACCAAATGAAGCTGTGGCGCCAGTACCAGAAAATGATTTGAAGATTGAAAATGTCGAGACGGAAGCAGAGGAATCGCCAACTGGAGTCAAACAGGAGAGTATCGATATTGCTCAATTACAAATCGAGGAAAATGCAGTTGCATCGACAACTAACGAGACGTAAGTTGCTATATTCAACGTCAAAATTTATATATCGACGAAATATGTATAACTTTGTTGATTTGACAGTTGCCTATCCTCGGAAATTTTTAATATTTATATTTTTAAATGTTTTTATTGATTATTACTTTTATTTTTGTGATTTTTTAACAGTTCCGCAACAAAAGACAACCAACAAGTGCAGAACAAAGAAACATCCAAGATGGAAACCGATACAATGCAAAAGGAGGCCGTAGTAAAGTCGGAGGTCACGCCGCCCGCAATTCCGCTCCCGGAAGCGTGAGTTCGCCCGTTGGGAGAGACGACATATCACGTTAGAATGTCTCCGTGTGCGTGTGTGTGTGCAACGCCATTGCCGAAAATCATGCGGACAGATTGTACAGTATTTTGTAATTACCAGGTTTTAATCGTCACCCAGACTAAACAAAACACTACATACGAGCAACAGGAAAGCAACCAAACCTAAAATAAACTATATTAATGTAATCGACTGTAAACGCCCCGCAAAATGAGTGCTAGATTTTCACGCCGACCCCACCCACGCTCACACGAAAGCCAAAAACTGAAAAATCACTAAATAACCGCATTTGTTTGGGTAAAAATCTTTAAATTTCGATCTGTTTCAATATTTTCTACATTCAACAAAGCAATATGCATACGAACAACACACATAATGTAAAATGGATTTTTGTGCAATTGAATATTCCCAAATCACACACAGACTGGTTTCTGAATGAAAACTGATGAAAATGCACCTAGCGAATGAAATTTGGCGAAAATATCTGTTCAGTATTGTGATATCGATGGAGGGAAAGACGTTTTTACATGTTTCAGTTTTATAGTGAATTTGCTAAACGCTGCACATTGTTCGATTGGCAACTGAATCAAAAACCATTCAGTTTTCGATCGGATGACGTGAATAATTAGAACAGATTTTAAATGCACCGAATCACGCCTAGTGTGATCGCATGTGATCGCTCTGTTCGATATATACATATATGAAAACTATAGTAATTACTTTATCGTGCCTGTTAAAACGAGGAACTGTGTCGTACCAAAAAAATGAAAACACTGAGATAATGAGGATGTTGTTTTTACCGCATCGTTTTTTATCATGTTTGGCGAACTTTTTATATCGTAGATACTTAATTTTAAACGCGCGCGCATTAATCAATTTTTTACCCCGCATTTTTAAATCTATACAGTCCTGAAAATAATATCACACTTCTTTTATATATACACGTTTGCAAACGCATCATTTTTATATTATTGAATTTATTTGTTGTTGTTTAACGAAGAAGACGGGCGCAGACTGTGCAACTATAACTTCTGTGATTATAGATTGTGACAAAAAAAACAAACTTCTTTCACGCATTAGGTTTTATTGGTAGAACGATTGTACACACGATGCGATAATGCGTTTGTTTCTTTAATTGATTGTTTTTTTTTTATTATGATTATTATTATTGGGCGTAAGATTTGATCGAATACTGTGAATTGTTCTCTCCCATCGTACAGTGCCTAGGCATACAGTTGATTGTATTTGTAAATCATTCACTTTATTGTTACTATTAAATGTTTTCATTGTTTTCGAGATGGATGAGATGAAAATAATGATGAGGAATGTGTTAGCGGGAGGATGAACAAACAAATGAGGAACGATTGTAAACGAAATGTAAATTTAAACTTACTTTATTGGTTTCAGTAAAGCATTTTAGACATGATTTTATGTAGCATCGAAGCTGTCAAAGAAGGTTATGTTCGAAGACATGTTAAAGTTATATTCTTTTGTGTGCAACTTAAAAATATTTGTGTTACATGTTGAGTAATCCAGCGAATACTTTTTGTTCAGGACTTTCTTCAAGTTCCATGTTATCGGTTGGTTCGTCTTTGATTTCGGTGTCGCCATTGATGTTCTTTTCCATATCCAGCAGCATCTTTAGGTATGATGTTTTTGTTTTAACTGCGCTTGCTGATTCTTCGCATTGTGATGACAGCGTCTGCAGCGTTTTCATTACTTTCGTGTAAACGTTCTTGAACTGATCGAATCTATCCATTTCTTCGCGGATTTCCAGTACGGTGCGTTGAATACGGGCGTAAACACTTGTGGATTCCATTTTGGAGAGCTTAAAAGTGCTTGAAATTGAAAGATGGGTGCTATTTTATAATTCAATGGGGAGTTGGATGATTTTGACAGAAATAATGTCAAAAAATCAGCTAGGCCATGTATATAACAACCAAACAGAAACAAAAGATAATTCCATGGGTTGCTTTTATTTTTCGGGTAATTTTAGAAGTATAAATGTATGTTGATTAGAAGAATTTGAATATCATTGGTGCAAAAACAATTAACAAGAGAAATATTGCGTTTTGAGGTGATAAAAACGGTAAAGTCATTGTCAGAGGTACAATGGCGGCTGTAAGCGCGTCACGCCATTTGTCATAATGTTCCTGCCAATTTGAAGTTGTAGTAGAAAGAGCAGTTGTTGTAGGTTGTGTTGTTGTTGTAGGTTGTGTTGTTGTTGTTGTTGGAACTGTGGTTATAGTTGTTGCTTCCGAAGTTGTTGTATCAACTGTGGTCAATGTTGTTTCCTCAGTAGAGACTTCAGTAGTTGTGGTTTCTGGTGTGGTTGTTGGAGTTATATCAACTTCTGTTGTTGTTTCAATAGTAGTGAGGGTTGTTTCTTCAGTTTCGGTTGTTTCCGTTGATGTGGTTGATTCAGTGCTTGTTGGAGTTGTTACATCTTCAGTTGTTTCTGGAGTGGTTTCTGTTGAGGAGGTTGTAGTAGTCTCTTCAGATGTTGTTGTTGTTGTCTCCGCTTCAGTTGTTTCTGTTGAAGATTGCGTTGTAGTTTCGTCAGTTGTGTTTTCAGTTGTTGTTTCTACTTCAGTTGTTTCTGTAGTTTCCGTACTCTGAACAGTTGTTTCCGTTGTAGTAGGAGTTGTTTCTTCTTCAGTTGTTTCCGGGGTAGTTTCAGTTGTGGTTTCCGTTGGGGCGGTTGTAGTAGTCTCTTCAGTTGTCGTTGTTGTTATTTCTGTTTCAGTTTCAGTTGTTTCCGATACTGTGGTTGAAGGTGGCGTTGTAGTTTCGTCAGTTGTGCTTTCTGAAGTTGTTTCAGTTGTTTCAACAGTTGTAGTTTCCGTTGTGGTCTCCGTTGTTACTTCTGTTGTAGTTTCTGTAGTTGTTGACGTAGTAGTCGTGGGAGTAGTTGTTGTTGGGGCTAAAGTTGTGCTAGTAGTAGTTGTTGTTGTTGTATCTGGTTCATCATCTACTCTCGCAGCAACACCAACCAATGCGTGAATATCTGGAGCTGCAGTTGTAGTTTTTATAGCTGGTCTCTTTGTTGTTGTTGTAGTCAACAATCCAACAACATTATTCAAAAGACCCAATTTTTCTTCTGGTAATTCATCTGCATCTTCATCTGATTCATCAACGCTATCCAATTCACTGCCATTTTGTTCACTTTCAATGGGTGCTTCCGTCGTTACCGGCTTAAGTCCCAATAACGATCCCAAATTACTTCCTATCCATCGAGCATGATGATCATGATGAGCGTCAGGCAATGACGTTGCAATTGATACAATCGTAATTAAACATATAAAAATCACGTTTCTACACATTTTTACATAGTTTATAGCAATGTTTAAAGTGTTCTTAGAGAAATATTATTCAAAAAAAGAATTATTACGAAATAATTACGAAAATAACATTTACACAATGATAAAAAATAAAAACGTCACACACAATATGTAATAAATTAACAAAAACACATTTTGAAGAAGTAAATTATATTTACAGTCATAATTCAAGCAATTTTATTTTTGGCGAAAGTTATACATATATTTAATTAAAAAATTTAACCTAAATAAGTTTAAAATAAAAATTATTCAAAAAATTAAACAAAAAACCATCCAGATTCACTGTTTTTCTTGATAATCGGCAACAGTAACATTACCAATAACCACAACAAGTTAGAAACTGATAAAAACGGTATCATCATTGTAATTGGTAAGATTGAATTAACAATCACATTTTTAATACTTAAAATGTGATTTTGCAAAGATATAAATGTATTCTCTGGAGTTGTGGGTACCATTTCAGTTGTAATTACATCTTTTTGATTATATGCAACTAGTGTTGTTGATACAACTTCATCTTTAAGATCTATAACCTCAAACTTTGAATCTTGCTCCAAATCTATACTTTTTGGACGTTGAACATCAAATTTTCGAATTTCTATAATTAACAACACAATTTTCACTACAAATTTGTTATTAAACTTTAATTATTCTTACCATCTTCAATATTAAACGTATTTGAAGTCACAAATGAGGTTAGGATAGAGAACAATATGATAGACGTCAAAACAAACATTTTAAAATGAAGCAAATTTAATAACAAACCAAAATTAGGTTCTAATTTATTTATTTTTTGATAAGATAACACAAAATAATAAATTTTACACAAAATTTATTGCAGCTTGTTTCATACAATTAAAATGAATAAAATAAAATATGATTTTTATCATATTTAATATTGGTCTTGAGGTAGACCAGCAGTAATGCCACCTTCAATGCCACAATGATCTTCCCCACGAAGTATCTTAAAGAAACCATTGTCTCCCCAATCAGAGTTCCACGAATTAGCAATGAGCCAGTACGGCGTGTCATTTTCCACACCCCATCCCAGAATCCTAATTGCATGTCCTCCAAGAGCTTCACCAGTGACATGTTTATAAACACCTTTAAAAAAACATCAATTTTAACTCTTTTAAACCACTTTTTAAACATAGAACAATCTACTTACCACTTTTATATTGCAACAAATCCGCGTAAACAGTAAACGCGCCCTCTACCGGTCCATTGGTCATAATCTCGGTCTGGATCTGCTTCTGGTCACTCCTCAGCGAGTAAGCCTTCTTACCAAAATGCCTATCTTGTTTATAAGACACCTTATAACCATCTTGACATTCCTTAACGCATTTCGGTGTTTTGTTATCATCGCCATTACAAGCAGGACGTGAACCATTCACGTGATGCTCACAAGGAGGAATCTCATAAGGGCGGCATCCTTGATGCGAGTCATAGGTCCCACCGGAAACCAATCCACTGCGCACCCAGTAGTGCCAGGCAGCGCCGGGGAATCCACCGTTGCAACCCGCACCACACAACCAACAACAGGAGACTAAATCATCAGCAGAGAACCGGAAGTGGATGTTACCCTTGGAATGGATGCAGACACGGTCGGACATTGCTTCAACTGCACCAAAAGCCTAAAGAAAATTAATTTTTATGTTAAACTAGGTTATAAGTTGTAAATTGAGGTTATGTAATGTACCCAGCATGAACCACATGATCCTTGATCCCTAATTTCTTGAATCGTGGGACAATCAGGCCATTGTTCCCTGGCGTCGAAGTTTTCGGGGATTTCTACGCCTTCTAATTCATGAACATGTTCGGCAAGTCTAAATTTAAAAAGTAAAAATTATTAGTTTATGTTTTAGAGTATAGGTGGCGCTGCATGTGCGATTTTAGATACTTTTATGAACAAATATTGTAATATACTGTTTACTTACTTTTTCGGTTCAGGCAGAGCTCCCATCAACCTTGTAACATACTTCATATCAACATTCGGCGCGAAATTCCGGCCGGCCTTCCACGTCGTCGCTTGCCTGTTGATCTTCGCAATGAATTCATCCGATAACGGATGCGGCAGACGCGCAGAAACGACGAAAATCGTCGCCGCGATGATCACGACCGCAAAAAGCGACTTCATTGCTTTAACAATTAAACAATCAAAGAATTAAAATTTAAAATCGACGTCACACGTTCAAGTTCTGTTGACCATCAACGACTGACTGACTTATTCGGTTGTTTGACCATCTTTTAACATCGCACACAAAGATCGCTGCGGAATTAACGCGGAGAAATGGTAAGAAAGGTCAAAAAGTCACGCTGATTGTATGAGGCGGTGTGAGTGTGGTCAACAAACAATGTTGAATGTTGAACGTTTAACGTTTCACGCCGTTGTCGGTTTATCTAATTGCGGATAACACAAGGCAAATCAACATGTGACATTGTGACAATAACATTTGTTAACGGCTGCGAGGATATTGAATTCATGGTGATTCATTGCCAGCATATTGTAAATGTAATCCGAACTTGGTAAACAAATGAATTATGCTCGATTTAGTGTTTTTAAATGAGTTTAAACAAGTTTAAAACAAGTGTGATGAAGACAATTGATGATTTGTTAAATTGGTTGCGGAAAATTGTGAGAGTAACGCCATCTATGTGAGTTTTAACCTAATTTTTAGTTATTTTGCGTTTTTAGTGATTATTTTGTTGTTAGAAACAAAATTTACGAATTTTTAATGAAAATAGAACAAAAACAATGCAAAATTGTGTTATTTTATCAAATAATATGATAACTACACAGATACTAGTTGTTTCTTAGAGTAAAACAATAAATAATGCTTCATTTCATGCTTTAAAATATGTTTAACCAAGTTAAAAGCAAGCCTAATGCTAAAAATTAAATATTTGTTAAGTTGGTTGCGTAAAAACATGTTTCTATCGCCATCTAGGTGAATTTTAACCTAACTTTAAGCTTTTCCGCTGATTCTGCTAATAATTAAGCACTTAGAAACACAAAATACTAATCTTAATGATTATAACACATAAATAATGCAATATTGCCTAATTTTATCATCAAATATAATTGTTTTTTGTCTAGACAATCAAATTTTCACTTACAATCAGCGACTGTTGAATGTTGCTGGCCGCAGCTCGCTCCGCATGCAATAGAAAAGCATTAAAACCAATGTGACGTCACTGCGACGTCGTTATCGATCGGGCCGCGCGGCGCACGATAGGCGGCTAACGACACGGCGTCGCGCCGCCGCCGCCGCCGCCGCTGACTCGCGTGCACGATTTTACTACCGCTGGACTGGCGGACGACGCACGGTCGTCGTTTTTCCACCGCTGGCCGCCGTCGCGTCTCGTCCACCTACCGAAAATCACTCAAAAATCCCTCAATTTCAATCTGATTACGCTAAAAATGTGGCCGGATGAACAATCGCATTGGCTTGCGATGCAGTGCGGGCTTCGATAATATGTGCGCGGGTGGTTTTCGGGGGAGTTTTCCGCATGAGGAGGCTTTTTTACGACCTGGACGCGGGTGTACGAAATAAAGTGACTAACGGACGCAATCGTGGAAAATGTAAGGATTTTCACCCCCGAAACGAACAAAAACAGGAATATTACTTAAAAAAACAATTTTCAAAGTAAGTTTTCTAAAATTTTAATAATTTTTATTTATTTTCTGTGTTTTTCTTGGTAATAAACGAAATAAATTCGTTTAATGTATATTTTAAGTGCCATTTTTGATCTCTGTGCTTGTTTATTATTTATGTAACCTAGAAAGCAGACGCGTCTGTTGGGTTGCTGCATTGCAGCACTTTTATTCGCCCCCTCGTCGGAGCACTTCATCACTTCATAAACTTACGAGATGAAAATCTCCACCGCCACCACCAAAGTAGTTCACTCTCGTAATCACACACCCATCAAATTTATCATTCGCTCAACTACTCCATCAAAATCATCCGGGCGCAGTGTATTTATATGTTATAGGTTATGAGGTGTATAAAGTAGGCAACCAAGTGTGCATTGCACACGATTAGTATGCGTTTTTTCGTCATTTAGTGTCATTTGCCTGCAATCAATTTGTTGCACATTCTATTAATACGCGCCGAACATGCGAACGCAAACAAACATACAGATAGAGTGCTGATAGCCGCGAGGATTATTAATAGTTACACCTCTCGCCCTCGGCGTTAATAAATTATGAAACAAATGAATACGCGACGCACTAGCATCAGCTGATAACGAATAAACGCGTGTGGCACACTCGAATAATCATGGAATCATGCATAGAGAATACAGCATTGTGCTGGAATAGTGTTAAAATAAGGTTATGTACATATATGACGCCATTACAATTCAAAAATCGTTTATTTTTGTGTATTTTTGAGGTTAATATCTAAAATTTCAGTTTTGATGTGCTAAATGGTGCTAAAAATAAAATGGTCGACGCCATATTGATTTTTTATTTATATTTATACGCGCGTATGGAAGTCAGCTGATGCTGCGATAATTTCGACACTGATATGGCGCGCTGAAAGTCAAAACTGTTCAAAATTGAATTGTTGTTCGTTGGGTTGCTATTTATAGGCGTCCATTTGCTGCGCAAAGTGTTGTGTGTGTGTGTGTTGGTGTGTATTGGGTTGCTTTCGCATGTGCACCTGCCGAAATGGATGGCGTAATGGCATCCAGACATTGCCAATTTCCTGCGCTGTCAATTTGCTTTTCGGTTTTATTTTCGTGCGTTCACATTTTTACCTGATATGTAACAAAGTCAACACAACAAGTGCCAAAGTTAATTCGCAAAATCAATTTATCCGGCTCAAGTTTGTGTCAAAATGTTTGATAATTTGGTTGCCTATAGCTTCAAAAGATATAAACTCATATAAACACTTTAATCTAACTTCGAAACTAAACTAAACTTACACAACTTTGTTTTAATTTATTATCTGTGATGGTAAAGCCCCGAAAGTTGAAGATTGCGTGCACGGATTGAGTGTAAGGAGGGTTGCGGGTTGTTCGTGCGGCTGTGGGAAGTATAATAACAAGTTGCATCGCATATTCATAAAGTATAATTGCGCAATAAAAACGCATTAATTTTAATTAATTGCTCGCCGGCGAATTGCTCGTTCGGGGGACGGGCGCCATTAAAAGTTAATAAATTGCCCGCCACTAATTGTATTTACTCTTTACTCGACGAGTCGCTGTGAGTGAAAGCTTCCAAGAACGCATCAAAATAAAACAAATATATTTCTAAATTTTCATCAAAAAAAATTGTATTTTAAACAATTTTATAGAAAATATTTTAAAAATAGCTAGTTTTTGAGGTTATTTCTGTCAAATATAACTTTTTGACATTTTGAAGGTTGTTACTCTCCAATTAGGATAATTTGTGAGTTTTCTGAGTATAAAAAGGGTTTTCCTGGTATTATTCGTCGTTTTGCTTAGATTTTGACGCATTTGCCGCATTGTGTACACAACAATGGCGCGCATCCTCACAGCGGGACGTCTTTGACTCGTTTTTTCTTTGATCCACAGTTTTCGGCACGAAAAGAAACGCTCGCCGCCTCGTTGGCTGTTCACTCGTGCATCTCGCGCGTAATTTTCCCTCCAAAATACCGGAAATAATGAAAATAATGAGTTAAGGCCCACTAATGCCATCTATTGGACACGCCATTTTTGCACGCGTTTTTATTTCGCTCGTTTAACATTTGTTTTCGCATTTATCGCATAATTAAGTGCAGTCGAATGAAATTACGCGCGGGTGGCGAGGGGGTGGACGCAATTAAATTGAGTGCTTCGCCCTTCAAACCGATGGCAGGCTGGGTGGACGCTGGCCCTTGCCCTTGCTCATTTCCCGCGCGTGTAAACACAACAATGCATAACTTACAATCACGTTAATGTGCGCAACATCACGACGCCATGTTGACAACACATCCTCGACGTCCTTATTCTCGCGGTGTAAACATGTCAAGTGTCATGTATGTAATCCACCAACGGTTTCAATTAAAAACTTTAAGAAATAAAGAAATTTTGTTGTTTAGTTGATAAAATAGGTTAATTCTGATGTTGTTTTGTGTTGTTTTCTGCAGAATGGTTTATTGGTGTTGGGTGGGTTGCCGTTAATGTCGGCGTTGTCTTGTTTTGTTTCGTTGCGGAAGTCGACTCACGAGAGATGATCATAAATCATGGCGATCACGTGCGGTTACGACCGGAAGGCTTTTCGTGCAGTAATGCGACACGACAACGACGACAACGTAACGCAATCTAATCATTTCACACGTGATTGCGCCAAAATTAATCTTATTAACTACATCGCTGCGATTATAGACAATGAACTATCGACAAACATAAAATTAACATAGTTTTAAGTACGTAGGCAACCAACACAACTCGAGTCGACGCAAAGAAAGTCTTTAATTCATTACAATGGATTTTTATGCGTTTTTTGTTGTATTTATATTTAATTGTTGTGTGTTTTTGTTTTGTTTAGGTTAATTAAAGATGTGCGTGTGGCTTAAAATGAACGGTGTAGTAAGCTAGCGTGCGGGTGCGTGGCGGCCATCTTGTGCGCGTCGGCAATCATGACGCACGCGGATGACGAAGAATGAAGAAGCAAAACGTTCGCACGCTATCGCTGATTGTGTGCACATTCACGTACCTGCTCATCGGCGCTGCGGTCTTCGACGCCTTGGAGTCGAAGACGGAGCGGCAGCGAAAAGAAATCTTTCAAGGTAAAAATTAATTTAGGCAACCTAGGCAACCAACCACACTCATGTCCACCATTACATTTATAGAAATTGAAAAGATTGTAAAGGATAGATACAAAATATCCGACGCGGATTTTAAAATAATGGAGACTGTCGTGCTGAAGTCTGAGCCGCATCGTGCCGGAAAACAATGGAAGTTCGCCGGTGCGTTTTACTACGCCACGACGGTTCTAACCACAATTGGTTACGGCCATTCTACGCCAAGCACCATCGCCGGCAAGCTTTTCACCATGTGCTATGCCATGATTGGCATCCCATTGGGTTTGGTTATGTTTCAAAGCATTGGTGAACGTGTCAACAGACTTAGCAGGTTAGAATTTGAGGTTATAATATTACAGCTACCCAAAAAAACATTATAATTTTAGTGTAATAATAAGATCGGTAAAGTCTTCCCTCAACTGCCGTAAGACGACAGCGTCCGAACTGGATTTGATCTGCGTTGTGACCACTCTGAGTTCGTTGACGATCGCAGGTGGCGCTGCTGCATTCTCACGCTACGAAGGCTGGAGCTATTTCGACTCGGTCTACTACTGTTTCATCACGCTGACCACAATCGGCTTCGGGGACATGGTAGAGGGATCAAATCAGGATTACGGATTACGTTAGTAATTTATATTTAAATTGTGCAGGTGGCGCTGCAGAAGGACTCGGCATTGAGCGATAAACCCGAGTACGTTATGTTTGCGCTCATCTTTATTCTCTTCGGGCTGGCGATTGTTGCCGCCTCGTTGAATTTGCTCGTGTTGCGGTTTGTCACGATGAACACCGAGGATGAACGAAGGGACGAAGCGCAAGCTATGCAGGTAATTGCAACATAACCTAATTTATAAACTTTTGATGAGTGAATGATGTTGTTTTGTGTTTTAGGCACTAGCTGGCGCTGTGAGGCTTGAAGGTGATGTCATCACTGCAAATGGCTCCATTCTCAGCGGTCACATCGGTCACCATTGTACAGAAACAACTTCCCTCGATCCCGATGATACCTCAGTGTGTTCTTGTCCGTGCGGATGTTTTCCAACCAACAGTAAACACAGGTAAATAGAATTAAATCAAAATAATGAAGATTTTGATGTTTTTTTTTTTTGGGGTTTTTGAAGGTTTTCGGTGAGAAGATCATCCACGCAAGCGCGCCATCTACTGCCGGTGTTGCCAATGCATGAGCTGCACTTGCCGCAGGGGCAGCAACTGCCGCCTCCGGCTATTTACCCGAATCACCGTGCCTCCATATGACCATCTCACCGCTACCAGCGCTCGTCGTCGAACTGAGCGACGTATTCTCAACGCAGTAGACACATTGTGATAATGCGGGCGCCATTTAACCTAAAACATAACTGAAAATCGAAACAAAACAAATGGACTGTTGTGTGCTGATTGATTTAGATTTACTAATCGGTAGGTAATTACAAACAATTCAATAACGGTGTGATGAATGCGCGAATATGTGTCAAAGCAACAAATGCGAAGCGAATACGCACCAATAATGTACTTTGCTTGCACGAAAACAAGATGGCGGATATATGCCTGCGATTTCCACACGATTTTTGCGATTTTGCGACGAATTTATTAACGATTATGCTTCCATTTATCGATTTATCAAACAGAATATTTCTACGCGTAACAATTGGGAACAAATCGTAGCTGAACGCGTTGATTAAATCACAGATTTGCCAAAAAATAAAAACAAAACCTACACAATTTTCAATGCGGTTGTTACTTGTTCTTTGTTTGGAATTGCATTAATTAAGAACAAAATACGGACTGATGGGTGCTTCCTAACTATTTTATCAACAAATATTTTCACTTGTTTCGTTATTTTGTGTGAAGCTGGGAGATAGGCAACCAAATCATCGACTTGTGCATCAATTATTTCACAGACAAAGAAATACTTAACGATTTGAGTACGTAGGCAACCCAATGTGCACACAATCGAGACTAGCCAATCGCACCGCCACACGAAACCAACCGAATCAATTATTACTATCTACTCACTCAATACTAAATGATAAACAAACATATTGAAATATTGACATTAGAAGAAGATCCCCCAAAAACCACAACACGCATATAATATTCCTATATTTGCATATTCGCATTGACCAATGTTTTCTATGTAATAGATTCGTTTTTGTTATTTGTTATTTAGTGCTTCCCATTTTGTACATATTTAATTGTTGTCAAATTGTTGTCTTTATCATTATCGTAAATGTTTGCGAGAACACGCCAAAGATGCAAATCGATGCGCCAAATTTTAACCTAAATATGCCAATTGATATTAAACCAAGATGGCCGACATGTTCTTATGTTTAATCCAGCGCGCCATGTTTGCTCTAAAAAGTCTTTACTAATCTACATAATCTTAAACATTTGCATTTGAACTTTATTGACATATTGACTATATATAGGGGTGTAGGACGTGATGCATACATTTTGTACATAATCAGACTGTTTTAATGTAAATATTATCCCGAGCGAGAATAGCTATTAAAAATTTCAAATAAAGAATCAACCAAGAACGTGCGGGGAATACAACAAACACAATGAAATAAAGTAAATTTAGTAGTTGCGTAAATATACCAGTTATTAACACCAACGCCATCTATCCTCTGCAACCTCTACAAATATTAAAACGAATCTATTGCGAATCACATCATTTTTGATCTTGTTTATTAATTTTGTCACATGAATACACCAGGAATCTAATCTTTAATCGGTTGCACATGATCAACTATATCAACAAAAAATCAACTAAAAAGAAATAACCTCACATGATTGACAATCATGTGATACATTACAGTTTTCTTTAAACTATATAAATTCAAAAACTTGATGGTATAGGTATCACAACACATTATAACCATGTTTAAAACAAGTGCCATTTTGATTCTTCTGATCAGCATTTGCAATGGTAAGAATTATTAAAAGTTTATCAACAATCATACAAAATATAAATATTTTTGTTATGCAGCCCAACATACACGTATCATCGGCGGAGAAAATGCTGACATTACCGAAGTACCATGGCAGGTATCCCTGCAAAACGATTACGGTCATTTTTGTGGTGGCTCCATCATCAGCGATAGATGGATCTTAACCGCTGGTCATTGTATCAGTCATAAAACTGACCTCACAGACAAAAAAGTGGTTGTCGGCATGACTAAACTCTCCGAAGGTGGTGTTATTCATTATATGAAACGTGTAATCCGTCACCCTTTATATTTTACCATGTGGATTGTCAGCCATGATATGAGTTTGATTGAACTGGAGGAACCAATTGTTTTCAACAAGCGAGCACAACCGATTCGTTTACCCACTGATGAGGAAACTCTTCCTGTTGGTAAAGTTGCCAATATTCAAGGTTGGGGACTAACCGAAGAAGATCAACAAGATTGGGATCACTTAAAGAAAACTACTTTACCGATCAGAGCACCTGAGGATTGCGCAAGTGCTTGGTGGTTTTTCCCTAAAAAGGTTTTCATTGGACCGGAAGCTCCTAATATATGCACAGAATGGGAAGATGCAGTGCCTAACACCTGCAATGGTGATTCAGGAAGTGCCCTAACCTACAATGGCGTACAGTATGGTATTGTATCTTATGGCCTAGGATGTGTCAATCCTCAATACCCCAAAATCTTTACCCATGTTTACAATTTAAGAGATTTCATTTACGAGAATACCAATGTGCAAAACAATTGACAATAACACATAATAGTAACATTAAACAAACAAACTGCAATACTTAACACTTGTAATGGCGATTCAGGTGGAGAACTTACCTATAATGGTATTCTGATTGGTATTGTATCTTTTGGAATAGGATGTGTTAATGTAGACTACCCAAAAGTCTTTGCAAACGTTTACAATCTCCGGAGTTTTATTTATGAAAATACAGATTTGGAACCATTGTAATCGTTATCAAAATATGTATATACAGTAGAATCTTGATAACTCGAACCTTGTTAAGTCGTAATCCTCAGTAACTCGAAAAGATATGCTATTCCCTTCCGCTGAACCCCGAACGACGCACTAACTCGAATTTTTTTTACTGTGGGAAGCAGCACAGTAAAGAGCGATTAACAATATTACAAGCAAATATAAACAGGCACTGAAAAAAGAAACCCAAACCGTTGGTTATAGGAAAAATCTGTAAATGGCTTGGATCAAGAACGAGAGATAACAAGATTTTTATCAATTATTTAAAACATACAGTGTAAGTTCATTCATTATAATTATGTACTTGACTCTCATTTTATGTTACCTAATATAATTTGTCGTAATAAATATTCTATGAAATTGTGCCATTTTATGTCAAAATTTGATGAGTTAACTCTTCATATCTCGAAATTCTTGTTAAGTCGAAAACTTGCTATCTCGAATTTTTGGTTTCCTTGACATTCGAGTTATCAAGGTTCTACTGTATATAAACCTGTCGGTGTGTTGTATTACATCATTTCGCAAACATGTTCAAAACAAGTTCAATCGTTATCCTGTTGCTCGGCGTGTGTCACCTGAACGGTAAAACCACAAGTTATCAATTTCAATTTGAGATACTTACGAATAATTAATCTAGCCTTATCAACACGTATCATCGAAGGTGAAGACGTGGATATTACTGAAGTACCATGTCAGGTATCCCTTCAACATGTCAATGGCACCCACTTCTGCGGAGGATCAATCCTGACCAACAAATGGGTCCTCACTGCTGGCCATTGTATGGACAGTGACCCTTCACCCATTGATAAACACGTAGTTATTGGAATGTCTAAACTATCCGAAGGAGGTGTTATTCACACCATGAAACGTTCAATTCAACATCCTCGGTATTATACCGTCGTTGGCTACAGTCATGATATGACCCTAGTTGAATTGGACAAACCAATTGTATTTAACGACCGTGCACAACCAGTTCGTATACCCAGCGATGAAGAAACTCCTCCATTTGGGGAATATTGCACTGTTCAAGGTTGGGGACGTCTTGCAGAGCTGGGGGATCTCTCAGACCAGTTACAGAAGACCACCCTACCACTTTGGAATCCTAAGGAGTGCCAAAAGTACTGGGGTTACCCAATGGATTTTGATGGCCCTGATGCTCCTTTCATGTGTGCTGCCTGGAAGGACGCCGTTCCTAATACCTGTCATGGTGATTCAGGTGGTGTTCTAACCTATAATGGTGTACAATATGGGATTGTGTCGTTTGGAGTAAAATGTATTACTCCATCTTATCCTCAGATTTATACCCACGTGTATAACTTGAGAGATTTTATCTATAATTATACAAATATAGAAATCTTATGATTCTTATCAAATGGTTTTCACACTGAAAGTACGAGTAGGAGAAACAATAGATGATATTAATAGGATATCGATTAAATCTAATCATTGTTCAAGTGTTGTAAAATACTTTGATCCACATTTGTAAACTACTTGATAATACAAATTATAACATTGATTTTTGTACGCTTATCAAAGCATATATAAACCTTTCGATGCGCTGTGCCACACCACATTGCAAACATGTTCAAAACAAGTGCACTCGTTATTTTGTTAGTTGGTGTTTGCCACGGTAAGAATAATAAAATATTAACCAAATTTGAATAAAAATTATATTACTTGTATGTATGCAGCCCAACCAACACGTATCGTTGGTGGTGAAGATGCCGACATCAGGGATATCCCATGGCAGGTATCTTTACAATACAGTGATGGCTTCCACTTCTGCGGCGGGTCCATCCTCAGCAGCAAATGGGTCCTCACCGCTGGTCATTGCATGAACAGCGACCCAAACCCTCAGATAAACGCGTCGTTGTTGGCATGACTAAAAATCCGAAGGTGGTGTTGTCCACACCATCAAGCGTTCAATCCAACATCCCCAGTACAACACCGTGGTTTCCTACAGTCACGATATGACCCTTCTTGAATTGAATGACCCAATTGAATTCAACGAACGGGCTCAACCCGTGCGCCTGCCTACTGATGACGAAACTCTTCCCGTTGGTAAGATTGCTCTTATTCAGGGATGGGGCCGTCTTTGGCAAGATGGTGACTCACCTGATCAACTCCAAAAGACCACTTTGCCCATCTGGGACCCGAAAGATTGTGCTAATGCCTGGGGTTTCCCTGAAAATGTGTTTGTTGGACCTGATGCGCCTTTGATCTGCGCTGCATGGGAAGGTGCAATGCCCAACACCTGCAATGGTGATTCCGGTGGTCCACTTACCTACAATGGTATTCAGTATGGTATTGTGTCCTTTGGAATGGGTTGCGTTAATCCTGATTATCCTAAGGTGTTCACTCACGTGTACAACTTGAGGAACTTCATTTATGATAATACTGATTTGTAAATATTGTAAATTAGGTTAGGATTCAATAATAAAACAACGCCATTTTGTTTTTAAACTGTTTATAACCTATTTTTATCATTTCTCGTGTTTCTATACGATGATTGTCATTTAATTCGATTAATTTCAGTAACCAGCAGTGTTTTGGCATAATTTCAATAGATAACGTGATAAGGACTAAATATACAAGTACTACAGGAAGTCCTTAACAAGACAATGAGTTTACATCGTTTCAAAACACTTGTGATAGCTTTGCAAACAAATTATTTATAAAAATAATGATTGTTGTTTACAAAATTCAATGTTGCTTCACTAAATAGTTACTAAACAGAGTATATTGCTCTAATTTTTGGAACTGTTTTACAATTGTTGCGATTGTGACGTAAATGTTGATATTACAAACAAGTCTATCGCGTAAATTCATGCAAATCCATGCAATTTAAGTTTAAATCGTCTGAGGTAATAAAATTTATGATGGATGACATATATCTAAGATTCCTTTGCCGTTTTCAAGTCATTCTAAGTTGTTGCCACGTTAGAAACAGCAAAATGTATCAAATTTTTATTTTTTGTACAGTTTTAACCTCAATAGTTCATTTTTCTAACCAATCAAGTGGTTCGTATTGATTTACAATGTAAATTTAGTGATTAAATTAATAATTTGTTTGCTTTTAAGGTGTTAGAATCATCGGTGGTTCAAATATCAACATAACCTCGGTTCCATATCAAGTTTCCCTTCAAAATGTCGGCAGTAACTTCCACACTTGCGGTGGGTCCATTCTCGCGCCATCTTGGATTCTCACTGCAGCGCATTGCGTGCGTGATTTTGATCCTTTGAAAAAACAAATTGTCGTTGGAATGACTCTGCGTAGCAAAGGCGGAATAATCCATAGTATTAAACGTGTGGTTCAACATCCGCTTTTTGGTTCAGCGCATAAATATAGCCATGATATTGCCCTTATAGAATTGAATACTCCGATCACGTTTAATGCTTTAGCGCAACCTGTTAGACTTCCTGAAGATGATGAACCACTTCCTGTTGGGAGTGTTTGTAGAATTTCCGGTTGGGGACGGTTGGAGCACGAAGGTGATAAGCCTGACCAACTGCAATCAACTACAGTACCAATATGGAAGCCTAAGAAATGTGCGGCTGCTTATAAATATTCAAAATCATTGTTTGATGGAATAGAGGCGACTATGATGTGCGCAGGATGGGAAAATGGCGGCTCGGATACTTGCAGTGGAGATTCAGGAGGTGGACTTGTGTGTGGTGATGCCGTTTATGGCATTGTTTCGTTTGGAAAAGGCTGCGGGACTGTTTATCCAAAAGTATTCAGTCACGTATACAATTTAGAGTTTGTTGAAAGTGTTATCGGGTAGATTACAAGAAAGTGTATTATTGTAGTAATACAATAGTACTATTGTCATTTGAAAAGTCTTTTATAACTTTCAAATCAAATAAAGGTTTGTGGATTAATATGCATGAGTAAAATAAGTCACATTAATTTTTCGTAATCTCTCATTCCCTCAAAATGTGCTTGTATTATAATTTAATTCTGTAAATCACGACAAGATGACGCTAGAATACACATATTTGAATTAAATTCTAAGCGCACTTATCGCAGCCAGTTTTTGGATGGTAGTAGTGCGTGTTCCTGAGAGGACGCGCGCGACTTGTTGCAACAGGTTTTGTTCTTATCTGTTATATTTATTTGTTTACGTCCGTGAAACGGTTTGCTGTGCAACTTACACAGTGCTGAAAGTGTCTTGCGTTCGCGTAGTTGCAAATTACTAATCGCCGTCACTGAAACTCTGTATTTCTTTCGCGAGATGTTTCACAAACGATTGAATCGGTAAATCGTGATATGTTCGGTTTACGCCATGTAATAATAACAAATGTGTTGTGTTACTGATGATTTATAGTGTTCGTAAAATATTAGAAAACGTGAAATTATATTCTGTCGACTGTTGGATGTCATGGATTACAAAGACAGTAGACGCGCAAACATGTTACCTTGTAAGTAATACAAGTTTTTATCTGACCTGTGATATGTAGTATCGTAGTGCCGGGCAAAGTGTTCTACATTGTATTATTTTGTTACAGAACTTGCCGTAGGTGTATTGAAGATGACTGGTAAGTAAATAATTAAATTAATCTCGTGCCGGTTCGTGCGAATACAAATCGAGGACGTTGTTATTGTTATTTGGGATGAAATTGTGGCATATCTCGCATTAATTGGAAAATTATTAGTTTTATCTATGCCAAGTTATAAAAAAAGCGTTTTTATTTAAAATGATGTTATGTTAAGGGGCGCCGACCCGCACTTGGCCGGTTTTTTCGTAGGGGTTTGAATTGCAACTTACCGTAAATGCGGAATAATTTTGTTAGATGCGGAATTTAATTTTGTATCTCCCTGTATTGAAATTTATTGCTAGAAAATTCCGTAACGCGAGTTATATTGATAGTTGTGTGTATACGCATTTGTACTCGTTGTGCTAGGAATAGTAGTTTTTGTTATAACACGCGACCGCGGTCTAATTTTAAGTCGGGAATAATTTTGTTAGATGCGGAATTTAATTTTGTATCTCCTGTATCGAAATTTATAGCTAGAAAATTTTTTACGCGAGTTATATTGATAGTTGTGTGTATACGCATTTGTACTCGTTACGCTAGGAATAGTAGTTTTTTTGTTATAACACGCGACCGCGGTCTAATTTTAAGTCGGGAATAATTTTGTTAGATGCGGAATTTAATTTTGTATCTCCCTGTATTGAAATTTATAGCTAGAAAATTTTTTTACGCGAGTTATATTGATAGTTGTGTGTATACGCATTTGTACTCGTTGTGCTAGGAATAGTAGTTTTTTTGTTATAACACGCGACCGCGGTCTAATTTTAAGTCGGGAATAATTTTGTTAGATGCGGAATTTAATTTTGTATCTCCCTGTATTGAAATTTATAGCTAGAAAATTTTTTTACGCGAGTTATATTGATAGTTGTGTGTATATGTATACGCATTTGTACTCGTTGTGCTAGGAATAGTAGTTTTTTTGTTATAACACGCGACCGCGGTCTAATTTTAAGTCGGGAATAATTTTGTTAGATGCGGAATTTAATTTTGTATCTCCCTGTATTGAAATTTATAGCTAGAAAATTTTTTACGCGAGTTATATTGATAGTTGTGTGTATACGTAATTGTACTCGTTTTGCTAGGGTATGTAGTTTTTTTGTTATAACACGTGAACGCGGTCTAATTCTAAGTCCGGGATAATTTTATTAGATGCTGAATTTAATTCTGTATCTCCCTGTATTGAAATTTATTGCTAGAAAATTCCGTAACGCGAGTTATATTATTCATTATTTATTGTGTTGATATTTGCATTTCTTTATCGCGCTGAGTAACTACTATTTTAGACGTATTTCGGCCGTGATGCATCTGCAGTCTATGTTCCTTATAATATACGTAAATATTCAATGCATACTGTGTAGAATTGTTCTAGCATCTTACACCGTTACTATTTGTGTTTATAAACAAACAAGTTTTTGCTATCTTTTTCAACTTGTGTGCCGTCGCCACATTCTCGGCACACGCGGTCGGCTTGCAAACGGTGTTAGTCTAATTTTGATCGTCCGGTGAACTGCGCGCTTAGCGAACCTTTAAACTTCTTAATTTCTTTTCGCGTTATTATGTAATATTCCTAATTAATCCCTAATTGATTCGTTCGATTGCACGAGGGTGATGTGCGGTGTTTGTTAAACGCGGGTTGTATATTCGCAGAGTTAACGCGTGAGTGATGTACGAGTACCGTCGGCCGTCGGATACTCTTCGATTATATTCATTTAATATAAAAAGACGTTATCAACTACATTTTGAATTTAATTATTTTCGTATTCTAGTATTATACGCGTGTTTCATCGTTGCTGTAATGTGCGTAATTAATATGTATATAAGTGATTGGATACTACAAAAGCGAAACATTAATTTTACATCAAGGTATGTTTTTTATAATAGTTTCATATTTACATTTAAATTGATTGATAGATTGCTGTATTAATTTTGTCTTTTATCGCGTTTTATGTACACATTAGAATACTCGTTGTTCAAGATTGTCGTCTGCCGTCGGCTACTTACTTCGGTTCTCGCTACAGGATGCAACATGTACGAGTACATGTTGTTTACATCACATACTCATACGTTGTATCTCATATTCATATTTGTAATTTGCAGTTGATTTATAGATTGCTCTATCAATTATGTCTTCATCCCGTTTGACACAATAATTGTTAAAGTTTGTCGCGTGCCGTCGGATGCGTTTCGTTGCCCTCGCTGCAGCCTATGGTGCTCATTGTTTTATTCGTACAATAAAATTCGTATTTGTGTTTTATTTTTGTAACACTCAAGAATTCACTTTTTCTTGTTATTCATAAGGAAAATAATTTCATCTTAATTGTTCTATTACTTTCATTGTTGAATACGTAATCCATTGTATAGTTTAAAAATATGTATTTATTAAAAGTTATACGTGATTTCTTCTGGATTTACATTTTTTAAATTGAGTTGATATGTTTCGCCCTGAGGGCATCTTCATAAACTGTTTATGTAAGAAGTTTTGTTTTTAAATATTATAATTTTCTTTTTGTAACACCCTGTATATTAGTTTTCTATTATAATCCGCGAAAATTTGATAAATTTTGTTGGTGTAATGTATTGTCTAATTTGTAACATTGTAGTTGGTACACGCAAACAAGTACCAAGTGTATGCAGATAGTAAAACATGTTTCAACATGGCGGACGATATATTGTAACTATTATGTATTTTAGTATCTATGTATGTTTTAATAAAGAAATGTTTAAAGGTATTGTGACTTATATTATGTGTGAGTACCCCTTCTATCATTTCAGCTACAGGTCAGAACTTATAAAATATTTTTAGACTCTGTCACCTTTACTCTTAGAGGCGACACTAGTCAGACTCCCTAGTCGACACTTAGAAATATTCATACAAGTCCTTATAAGGATTGTCCTTATAAGGAGTTCCCTCTCTCTGGGGATGATCTCCCACCATAAAAATTGTTGATATGCCTGATAATTTCGGGGATGAAGCGCAGAGACATCGTAGCTGTAGGATGGGTTGGGAGTAATGGTATAACCTGAAGCAGCGAATTCATAGACTGTCTTATAACGACACGTGCCAAAAAAATTCAAAAATTGATCCTCCCCTGTTCTCTTCTTCTATCTCCTCCTTCTCTCTAACTCTGTTCTCCTCTTTCTTTCCTTTTCCTGTTCTCATTTCTTACTTCTTATTGCCTTCACTTGTATTTCAATTCTCTTATATTTCATTGCAATCTATATGCAACCCAAATTACACCCTGATATTTTTATATTTTAGAAAAATGCCTCCTGTACTCCGAGATTCGATCCGTGCCTGCTAGCATGCCAGCAGGTGTACGTCTCCACCTCGACCACCGAGTGCTTTTTATCATTATTATTTGATTCTTCTATTTATGTTTCTACTTTTATCATGTTTTTAAAACATCAACACAATCTGCCAAATAGAAGTTATGTTATTCCTGCGCCAATGCAAATTTAAGTTATAAGTTATACTATTTAATACTTCTGGAAACAAAAAGAGGAAATTTTACCAGAAATGCAAGATTATAAATGTAAATACAGCTTTGCTTAATTAACTTTTAAAAATACATACAAGCGGGCCATTCGCAAAAATAAAACGCGGCTATCGAGAGCGCGCGGTGAACTGGGCAAAACCAGAATGTAGCAACAATCATTCTGATCCACCGCGCCGCGACCGTTTCCAAAGCCGAGTTTGTTGGGTCTGTGGTTTATAAGATACAAACATAAACAAAACATTTCATTGACATTTTTCAAATATGATTTACCTTATTTATTGCTCATTTAAAAAAAATTTTCCTGAAACGCAAAAACGTGGTACAGTATAACTTATAACTGAATGCCGGTGAAACGTGCCCACAGCAAGTGTTCGACTTTAACAAGAATTTCTTTCGAGATATGAAAGAGCTAACTCCATCAAATTTCATTACAAAAAGGCACAAATTTCAGGAAATATTTATTACAAATTACATTTAGGTAACATAAAATGAAAGTCGCGCCATAATTATACTTTAACGAAATCTACTTCGTATATTTCCAAAATAATTATAAAAAATCTGTTATCTTCTGTTTGATTCCAAGCCATTTACAGATTTTTAATATCAATTAGACTCTGTCACCTTTTACTCTTAAGAGGCGACACTGGTCGAGCTCCCCTAGTCGACGCTGAAATATTCGCCCACAAGTCCTTATAAGGATTGTCCTTATAGGGTTTCACCTCTCGGGGACGGATACCCCACTTAAAATTGTTGATATGCCCTTGATAATTTCGTGGAAGCGCATGAGAGACATCGTAGCTGTAAGGATGGGCCAGGGCAATGGAAGAATCAAACAGCGACCATGGGCATCTTATAACGACGTGCAAAATTTAAAAAATCTGATCCTCCTGTTCTCTTTCTTCTATCTCCTCCTCTTCTCTAACTCTGTTCTCTTCCTTTTCTTCTCTCCCTTTTTCCCTGTTCCTCATTTCTTACTTCTCTTATTGCCTTCCTTGTATTTCAATTTCTCTTATATTTCATTGCAATTCATATATACAACCCAAATTACACCTGATATTTTTTATATTTTAGAAAAATGCCTCCTGTACCGAGATTCGATCCATTACTTATACTAGCATGCCAGCAGATTGCACGTCTCCCTCGACCACCGGAGTGCTTTTATCGTATTATTTGATTCTTCTATTTATGTTTCTACTTTTTTATCATGTTTTAAAACACATCAACACAATTCAAGCAACAGTTATGTTACATTCCTGCATATACGCACTTAGGTTATATGCCATACTATTTTAATACTGAAAACAGCAAAGAAGGGTACAAATAGAAATGTGAATAAGATTATGAATGTAATAAGAGTTTTATTAATTAACTTTTAAAATACGCCTGGAGTTAGCATTCATAAAAATAAAAGAAACGCGTGTACACGAGAGCGCAAAGGTGAACTAAGCAAAATAGAATAGCAACAATCATTCTGATCCACCGCGTCATATCGCTCTGTGCCGAGTTTGTTGGCCCGTGGCGTCATAAGATAATAAAACATAACAAAACATTTCATTGAATGTTTTCTTCAAATATGATTTACCTTATTTATTGTTGTTCATTTAAAAATTCTTCTCCTGAAACTTAAAAATCGTGGTACGGTAGAGATCTTACATTAACTCGAATGTCAAGGAAACCAAAAAAATTCGTTAAGTGTTGATAACAAAATTTCCGAGATATGAAGAGTTAACTCATCAAATTTCGACATAAAAGGCTGTTCATAGAACATTTGTGACCATTACATTAGGTAACATAAAATGAAAGTCAAATTACACTTAATTATAATGAATGAACTTACACTGTATATTTTTAAATAATTGATAAAAAAATCTGTTATCTTCGTTTGATTCAAGCCATTTTACAGATTTTTGTAATTATTTTTCTAGTTCATATTGTAGGAACCGAATATATGATACTCGATATCGTTACATCTTTCAATGCAATTCGTAGTGTATCAATTGCTGTATTGTACTCATATTGTTGCTTGTTAACGTAAACAAATACATATGTACTGACTGAGCCAAGTAACCAAAAGTGACCAAAAATGAAGAAATATAGCATCTGTTTCTTAGAAATTAGAAAGTTTATTGAATGAATTCATTTCGCGTGTGCAAAACAAAACAATAGATAGAGGCTGAGCCCCGAACATTCCTTTTTGATTTTATTGCCACGAGTTTTTAAAGCTCAGGAATCCGGTAAGAAATCATAAATTTTATGAGCTTCGACTTACTGGGGTAGTATTTGCAGTTCGAGTTACACAGGTATTAAAATGTACAGTGTGCCTCACAGGAAATAACTTATTGTTCGAGTTACTGAGTCCTAAAAGAAATTCGAGTTGGGCGATTACGTCGTTCAGGGGTTCAGCGGAAGGAATAGCATATCTTTTTCGAGTTGCCAGAGGTTGACTTAACAAGGTTCGGGTTATCAGATTCTACCAATATAAGGGCGAACTAGACCATTATTTACACACGCAATACAAATGACTTATGATACCAGAATTAAAATACTTTACAATTTTAGGCAATACTTCTGCAATATTCACCAATTTCAATTTCTACAGCCCCTAAAAGAGCAAGAAAATCAGTGTCTCGAAACTTTTAAAAATGCAATTTTATGGCTTTCCCGTGAGAAAATTGCCAAACTAAGTAATGAAGATGATACAAATTACAATACTTACAATTTGATGTAAAACGCAAATACTACAATGGGTTCTCCTTTGAATTTTCTACAGCCTAAAACAAGAAAAATCAGTGTCTCGAAGCACAAAATGCAATTTTATGGCCTTTACGTGAAAATTGTAAACTAAGTATTAAGATGATTCAAATTTACAATACTACAATTTAACTGCCAAAAACTGGCCTTCCTGCGGGTTTCCGTTCAATTTCTACAGCCCTAAAACAAGAAAAATCAGTGTCTCAAAACACAAAATGCAATTTTATAAGCACCGTGAAAATTGCCTAACTAAGTAATAGAGATGATACAGAATTACAATACTTACAATTTGATATAAAAATAGCCCTCCTGAGTGTTTCCGTTCAATTTCTACAGCCCTAAAACAAGAAAATCAGTGTCTCGAAACACAAAAATGCAATTTTTATGGCTTTCCCGTGAGAAAATTGCCAAACTAACTATTGAAGATGATACAGAATTACAATACTTACAATTTGATGTAAAAATGGCCCTCCTGCGGGTTCTCCTTTAATTTCTACCGCCCTAAAACAAGAAAAATCAGTGTCTCAAAACACAAAAATGCAATTTTATAAGCTTTTCCCGTGAAAATTGCCAAACTAAAGTAATAGAGATGATACAGAATTACAATACTTACAATTTGATATAAAAATGGCCCTCCTGAGTGTTTCCGTTCAATTTCTACAGCCCTAAATGGAGAAAAATCGAAAAATCAGTTTCTCGAAACACAAAAATATATTTTTATAAGCTTTCCGTGAGAAAATTGCCAAACTAAGTAATAGAGATGATACAAAATTACAATCCTTACAATTTGATGTAAAAATGTCCTTCCTGCGGGTTTCCGTTCAATTTCTACAGCCCTAAAACAAGAAAAATCAGTGTCTCGAAACACAAAAATTCAATTTTTATGGCTTTCCCTTGCGAAAATTGCCAAACTAAGTAATAGAGATGATACAGAATTACAATACTTACAATTTGATGTAAAAATGGCCCTACTGTGGGTCCTCCTTTAATTTCTACAGCCCTAAAACCAAGAAAAATCAGTGTCTCGAAGCACAAAAATACAATTTTTATGGCCTTCCCGTGAGAAAATTGCCAAACTAAGTGATAGAGATGATTCAGAATTACAATACTTACAATTTGCTGTAAAACTGGCCTTCCTGCGGGTTTCCGTTCAATTTCTACAGCCCTAAAACAAGAAAAATCAGTGTCTCGAAACACAAAAATGCAATTTTTTTTAGCTTTCCAATTAAAAAAATTGCCAAACTAAGTGAAAAAGATGATACAGAATTACAATCCTTACAATTTGTTGTAAAAATGGCCCTCCAGCGGGTTTCCGTTCAATTTCTACAGCCCTAAAACAAGAAAAATCAGTGTCTCGAAACACAAAAATGCAATTTTTATGGCTTTCCCGTGAGAAAATTGCCAAACTAACTATTGGAGATGATACAGAATTACAATACTTACAATTTAAGATATAAATGGCCTCCCTGCGTTTTTCCGTTCAATTTCTACAGCCCTATAACAAACAGAAAGTAGAATTCTCCTGCGAGATTCCGTTTAGTTTCCAAACCTGAAACACAAACAGTAATCAGTGCATCAATATTTTTATAGTTTTGTATACTTTAGTTAATCACATACTTTATAAACTGAGGAAGAGAACTGTTGTTACATCCTGCAATGCAGGCGGTGGTTTAAGCAATTCGTACTGGTCGGCGATCAGAACCAAACTAGTTTCAAAACATGTGCGCTGTTGTTTACGTAGTGCAAAATACTGATAAGCGCTTCTACATCTAACTGCATCTAACTGTATTGTGGTACAACGGATGCAACATACAAATGTTTGAATACAAATTTAATTCTACATCGACGGTTTCGAACTGAAAATTTTTAAGAAAAAAGTTTGACCCTGTTGTTTGACAGGTAATAATTTCATTAAAAAAGTTCGACCCTGTCTTTCGTCATAAATTTTTATTTTCGACCATGTGGAACGCCCTCTATCGACCAAAAATAATTTCAACATTCAACACAAAAACGAAAAATATTGAAAGAAATGGGCATTTTTTTATGGTTATTTTAGGGCACTTCCATAGGGTTTCAAGAAGCGTGAAAAACTCACCTTGGAGAGGGACTCTTTAACTATCACATGACGATAAAATAGCTTGAATTACTCAATTGGTTTCAGAGATACAAGGCGTTTTTCACCACAATTTCAATAAGCATTTTAGGGTATATTGTAAGGGTTTAAGGGATTTGAAATGTATGCATCGTGTAAAGAAACTCTTTAATTATCATATGATAATGAGAATGTTTCAATTCTTTCATTCATTCGCGAGATACAGGGTGTTTTCCACACAAACTTTTAATTTTTTTAAATAAATTTTTAATGGCTATTTTGAAGCACTTACAGAGAAGTTAGAGGGTTGGAAAAAACTTCATCATATAGAAGAATTCTTTAGCTTTTAAATGACGTTAAGATAACTCAAATTGCTCCATAACTTTCGGAAATATAAGGTGTTTTCCACGACAACTCTTTGAACATTTTAAAAATAGCCTATTTGTGGCGGCCATTTTGAGGCACTTTTGGAGGACACAAACGGTTGGAAAGGTATTTATTTAATACAGGGGCTCATTATCTATTATATGGCAATGCGATTGTCCACATTGGTTTATTGGTTCCAGAAATATAGGGTATTTTCTACGGCAACTTTTTGAAATTGAAAAATATAACCAATTTTTCACGGCCATTTTGGGGTACTTCCGGAAAATTTAGAAAGTTGGAGACATTTCCACCTTAGAAAGTGGCTCCATATCAATTATAGAACGATTAAATCAACCCTCTTGGAGGGGAAAAACTTATAGACTATCCCAATCTAAAGCGGGAAACAACATCTGTACCGTAACTAAAACCGAGACTGGTGACATTAATCCAGGAAAAATCACTAAGTAAAGAGCGGGCCCTTAAGAATATTTGGGTTTTGTTTCATGCAATGACAGTGTTATTGATAGTATTGAACATTAATTGTCAATTCTATGAGTAAATGTCAATGATCATCAAATCATCTCATAGTGAGCAACAAAATCAATCAAAATTTATTGTGACACATACGTCGTGATTAAAAGCGCAGCTTCGCTGTGATGCGAGCATCGGGGCCTCACCCGCCAACATGAATTTCGACGACGAGTGCGTTTACGAAGACTCGGGCAATGAGACCAGCGGCGACGACGTCGACTTTGGCGTCGACGCCGACGACAGCTCCAACACCAATCTGCCACCGTTTGAGGAGGAGTACCAGTATGAGGTGCTCGCCACCGAACAAATCGTCCAACACATGAACGACTGCATTCGGGAAGTGAACACCGTGGTGCAGATCCCATCAACCACCACACGCATCCTCCTCAATTACTTCAAATGGGACAAGGAGAAACTTATGGAGCGATTCTACGACGGCAACCAGGAAGAGCTATTCAAGGAGGCGCATGTTATCAGTCCTTATAAAAAGGCACCAGTAGCGGGGACCACATCAGCTCCGCAAACTAAAAACACTAAAGAAAAAGAAAAGGATAAAGACAAAGAAAAAGAAAGCAAAAACGAAAAAGATAAGAAAGAGAAAAAGGGAGCAAGTCGAAGTTCAGGTAGTGCAGTTGCCGGACGTGAGGAATGCGCCATTTGCTTTATGGTCCTGCCACCATCAGAACTTACCGGATTGGAATGCGGCCATCGATTTTGTTTCCATTGTTGGAACGAATACCTAACAACAAAGATCATGGAAGAAGGCGTTGGTCAAACAATCGCCTGTGCAGCCCATCAATGTTCTATTCTTGTAGACGATCAAACTGTAATGCGATTAGTCAAAGACAGTCGAGTCCGACTCAAATACCAACAACTTATAACCAATAGTTTTGTTGAATGCAATCGTCTGATGAGATGGTGCCCAAGCCCAGACTGCACATTCGCACTTAAAGTAAGTTATCTCTTCCAACTTCCTATAGCCTTCAATTGAGGTTAATAAAAACATTTTAGGTTAGTTTCGTCGAAGCGAAACCTGTAACCTGCACATGTGGACACACATTCTGCTACGCATGCGGAGAAAACTGGCATGATCCAGTTCGCTGTGCCATTTTAAAACGTTGGATTAAAAAATGTGATGACGATTCGGAGACTTCCAACTGGATAGCAGCCAACACCAAAGAATGTCCTAAATGCAATGCAACCATAGAGAAAGACGGCGGTTGTAATCACATGATATGCAAGAATCAAAACTGCAAAGCAGACTTCTGTTGGGTGTGTCTTGGTCCTTGGGAACCACATGGTAGTAGTTGGTACAACTGCAATCGTTACGATGAAGACGAAGCGAAAGCAGCGCGTAATGCCCAGGAAAAATCCAGAGCAAAACTACAACGATACTTATTCTACTGTAATCGCTACATGAATCACATGCAGAGTCTGCGTTTCGAACACAAACTCTACATGTCAATCAAAGACAAGATGGAGGAGATGCAACAGCACAATATGAGTTGGATAGAAGTACAATTTCTGAAGAAAGCAGTGGATATTCTCTGTGAATGCAGACAGGCATTGATGTACACATACGTGTTTGCATTTTATTTGAAGAAAACCAACCAATCTGTGATATTCGAGGATAATCAAAAGGATTTAGAAACAGCGACGGAGATGCTGAGTGAATATCTCGAGCGGGATATCACACAAGCTAATCTGGTAGATATAAAACAAAAAGTGCAGGATAAATACAGATATTGTGATGGTCGCAGGAAAGCTCTGCTGGAGCACGTTCACGAAGGCTACGAGAAGGACTGGTGGCAATATTCCGATTAAATTACATTTACATGTTGTCAGCGACATTTTTTTCCTCGAATCTAGTTTTACGACACATAAATCGAAAAATCTATCAATTTATTCTTCATAGTTACTTACTATTTAAATTTATTGTTTTTGTTTCTTTGATTCCGGTTCATCCTCGTCCTTTTTCGGTGCGTTCTTAGGTTGAGACTTTGAATACGCTGGTGTGATCCAGTATGGATTCTCTTCCGCTTCCTTCGCGTACTTCAAAATGGCTTCTCTGGGATCTTGATCGTCGTCAACTCGCTTACTTAACCCTAAATTTCTTATTACAAAACTACTCAATGTACCACCGCTTGAAGCGACACGTCCGCCTTGACCGGAAGTAATCGGTAAATCAGGCCGTTTTGATTTTAATGGATCCAGACGATCTTTCTCCATTTGTTTCCTGCTTGTTTTACGTCTTTCCTGTCTGAATAATGGCAATGCATGCGGTGTGATGACTTGTTGCGTACTTATAACTTCTGTATGTTGTACTTTGCGTTGTGTTTTCGCAGCGCAAAGTGTTGCACCACGCATGCTACGTTTTTCATCATAGAAACACTTAACTATACCGTTTCCAGTCCCCACGAAAATTTGATTTAATTTTGGATGCCAGATGGTTTTAATTACGTGTGAATTACCGACTTCTAACTTTCTACGTAATTGAAACGTGCCTGAATCGTAGAGTAATAAATAACCTGTCTTTTCGCCTTTTTTTAATGACGTACAAGTGACAACCATACGATCATCCGGACTAAAGATGGCGTCGGTCATGTCATATCGCGAAAATAGATCTTTAACCTCATTTATAGACTTTTTAAAGTATCTCAAGTCCCATAACTTCATTGTATCGTCCATACTGCGTGTGACTAAATGCTCCCCGACGTGTGAATAACAAATACTAGTAATTTCCACCGGTTGATGCGCATTTCGACATAAACTACTGGGTGAAACAGTACTCCGACGTAAATCCCACAATTGTAATGAGCCATCTGCACAACCAAAGCCAAAAACACGCCCGTCTCGATTGTAACAACATGCAGTAGGTGCGGTTTTCAACCCGTTTTGTGCGCGACATTTAATGAGTTCTTTATGCGCTTTACCACCTTTGTAAATGTCCCAGGAACGCGCTGTACCGTCAGATGATGTAGTGAGAAATTCTTCACGTGATACAGGACTCCATGCACCGGCAAGTAAACTAGAAGTATGACCAAGTGTGCGTGCTTGGTCAGAGAGATACATGTCACCTTTGACGGTTTCCAGCTTTTCGAAACCATCGCGGTCGATGACTTTCGCCTGCGCCGCGCCGGAAACTACAAGCAGGAGATCGCCAGTGCCTGAATAGTGTAAACTGCGAATAGGGTGGTTGTCGCAAGGTTGCAGGGTACGGAAAGAACGCATACTGGAGTCCATTCCAGCAAAGTCCCAGAAAGAGACTTCATAATCAACAGAACCTGTAAAAATTGTTATTTTAGTTTTATTTATTGTAGATGTGAATTAAATTTTATACCTGAAGCTAATCTTGCACCACTTGGATCACAACTCATTGCTGTCACAGCTTTACTGCCATGAACCATTGATACTTCATGTGAACAAGGTATGAATGTTTCCTTGTCATCCTCTTCATCATCACTGCTTGCCTCTTCATCATCATCATCATTTGACTTGCCTGCTTTTGTTGTTTTGGTTGTGTCTTCTTTAGTTTCTTGAGCTTCAAGAATTTCTAACAAAAGATTTACTTTTAGATGTTTTTTACATTAAATTTTACTTTAATCTACCTTTAGGTATAGGAGGACCTATGAAATCATCCTCATCATCACTTGATTGACTTGATTCTTCTTCATTTGTAGACTTTGGATCAATAGCAGCTGGTTTAGTGATTTCTCTTGCTGTTTTCTTTACTTGTTCAACCATTGCCTTAATTAAAATGAGATTTTATTAAAATATTATCAGATTAATATATAGGGTTTAATTACTCACTTGGACGTCAAATGATTTAGCTTTCTTTCCAAATGAGCTTATTCCCATCACATCTTTCATCTGTTGTGATTCTGTATCATCTTCTTCGAGTGTTTCAATTACTTTTGGGCCAAATTTCTCAATTGTGTCGGTGGACTCGATCACTTTCGCATTTTGAGCGAAATTAACGCTTATTTTACCAAAAGCTATCTTCTTCTTATTCATTTCGAGATTTTTCTTATTATCGATTAGTAATTAACATTTAAAAGTTCATTAGGCAACAGTATAAAGATAACTGACGTTTAAAATGTTTGGTTATATTGTTGTTTGTTGCCCTTGGTCAGAGGCGTAATCATTTTAGTTGTAAAATTATTGATTAATTTTTAAGTTTTGAACAAATTTGAGAAGTACTTTCATAATAAATATTAAATTGTTATAGATTACGCGTATTATATTGTATAATTTTATTTATTATTGAGTTAGTTTTATAAATAAATAAACAAATTAAACTATTGCAACTTGTGAATTTATAAGTTAGTTCAAGTTTTCTCCGGTAGAGTACCTGTCGTGCGCAGTTCAGTAGTTGCAGCAACACGCGCCCAGCGCCACCGTCTTTCTTTTCTAGCAGAACCCGTCAACAAACATGGTACGTTCGCGAAATATCCAAAAAATCTTAGGATATCTCATCCATCCAATTCCAAATTCAATGATTATAAATATGGATACCTAATTTCGTGTGCGTTATTCTTCATAACAGCGATATTTGTGTTGTAGGGTATTGATATCAATCACAAACACGACCGCAAGGTTAGGCGCACTGAGCCCCGCAGCCAAGATGTATACTTACGTCTTCTTGTCAAGGTATGTAAAAACTTCTCAAAAAACAAAACCTTGTAACAATATTAACACAAACATACTTTCTTTTAGCTGTACAGATACTTGGCTCGTCGTACAAACGCCAAGTTCAACAAAATCGTGTTGCGGCGTTTGTTTATGAGCAAAATTAACAGACCGCCAATTTCCATTGCGCGGATTGTGCGCGCCATGAAGAAGCCCGGTCGTGAGGGTCTCACCGTGGTCGTTGTTGGATCCATCACCGACGACGCTAGGATCTGGGAGCTGCCCAAACTCACTGTTTGCGCACTTCACGTCACTGAAAAGGCTCGTGCTCGGATCCTTAAAGCTGGTAAGCATTATAAATTCACAAAAAAATAATATAAATATTAATTAACATGGAAAATTTTAGGTGGAGAAATTTTGACTTTTGATCAATTGGCTCTGAAGGCACCTACCGGCAAGAAAACCTTGCTGATTCAGGGCAGGCGTAAGTCTCGCGAGGCCGACAGGCACTTCGGGCCAGCGCCGGGCGTTCCACACTCGCACACCAAGCCGTTCGTTAAGTCCAAGGGCCGCAAGTTCGAGCGTGCTCGTGGTCGCAGGAAGTCTTGCGGCTACAAGAAGTAAATTAGCCTGTTATTTCTACACAATAAACAAAAAATCCATATTGTCTTTTCTGTTTTACATCAAATAAAGAAATGTATCACAGGAAACTTCTTAGTTTTTTTTCTCTCAAAACACAAAAAACCACAAAATTTTACCAAAAAAAAAGTCAAACAAGATTTATTTCTGCTTAATTAACAAACTTTTTGCTTCAATTTCTTCTTTTGTGGCTTTTTAACCTTTTTATCTTGCTTTTTAGGCTTAATTTCATCCTTTTCTTTGATAACAATCACTTCATCATCATTATCCTCCTCAATAAGCTTCTTTTTACCTTTTTTAACCTTAATCTTCTCTTCTTCATCCTCAATAATAATAGAAACACGTTTTTTCTTTTTTTTACCCTTTGCAACAATCTCCTCTTCATTAATTTCCTCAATTTCTTCCTCCACAACTAAACTTTCATCAACTTTTTCATTCTCCATTGAAACCAAACACATACAAGTAAATCTACAGCCTGCATTAGCCACACAAAGTTGTTTTAACTTTGCACTCCACACTTTTATCTCTCCTGTGCTACTGGCAGTTACTAATTTATTCCCATGCATTGCCATACATTTAACTCTACTTGAATGACCATCATGTACAATAATCTGATCATCTTCATCTGTTGGTGACCCAACATTGACAATTGCAAATTTACCTTCTTCATAACCAACTATCAGTTTCTCATCTGACTGCCAAATGCAACTGGCAACTTTATATTCATGTTTAATTGATTTTAACACTCCACCTGAATCTATACTCCATATATCTGTATAAGTACTGCCTACTAACACAAATCTTTGTCCATCAGGAGCCCATTTAATGCTGTGTAGACATTTGGGTTCCTTTGATTTGCTGTTTAAGTTGATAACATATGCTTGTCTACCTTTGACAAGATTCCATGTTCTTAAAGTGGAATCTGCACCAAGTGTGAGTGCTAATTTGCCAGATGAATGTAAGGCAATGTCTAGAATGGCAGCACCTTTGTGTGCATTCTCCCAAACTTTCTCTAATTGCCAGTTTCCTACTCTGATGATGGCAAGCATGCCATCTTGGCCTCCACTGATGAGATGTGTGTGATCTTCAGTGAATTGTAGACAGTTGACTGTTCCATTGTGATGGGTGAGGAGACAATGTTCTTTTCGGGTTTTTAGATTGTAAACGACGATACGGTCGTCTGCACCGCCTGAAGCTAGTAAATCTAAGCATGTTGTCACGCAGCGAATGCTACCGGCATGGCTGTGAACTGCAAAAGTTTGCTGGGCTTCTTCTTCCTAAAAATTTGTTTAGAATTTTAGTAAATTTTATGATATTTATGTGTGGATTATGTACTTTTTTGTTGTATTTGAAACCTAGGATAAACTCTTCGTAACTTCCGAGGATTATTTCACAAGAAGACTTCTTCCCCATCGTGTTTTTGAAACTTTTTTACTTTGAAAAAACACGTGTGAAATGTTTTGAATGATAACCTTACAATGTCAGATTATGTATGTATGGTTGCATAACAAAAATTGATATTTTGGTTAATTTTATAGTTTATACTTTTAAATATACCAAATTTTTGTAGTTTTATTATTATTGTTGTTGCGAATAAGTTTTTTGTATGTTTTATGTGTTAAATGTTTATATTTTATTAAAAATATTTCAAACTAAAACCCGCGTAAGATTCGTGCGTGTTCGTAATAATTCGTAATTTATAGTTTGTTTAATGCATTCGTGAGAAAGGTCATGCAACTCGTCAATGGCGGTTATCACTTAGCAAACAATTAAATATGAATCGGAACTTATTAATATCTAGCGCATTTTACGAACTTTCGTAAACCTAGAAGATGATTATAGTGAAACCGCAATTTGTCCGCCACGAAGGTAACTTCCACCAAAGTTTATGTGTACATTAACCTCAAACTTTCCAAATAAATCCATTAAACAATTTCTTTAATTTTAATTAAATTTAAGATGGCAAGCCGATATTCTCGGTGGATATCCACCCGAAAGGAGGCCGCGTCGCTACCGGCGGTCAGGGTGGTCAAGGCGGGCGCATTGTCATCTGGAATATGAACCCAATCCTTAATGAAGCTGATGAAAATGATGAAAATGTCCCGAAACAATTGTGCCAAATGGATAACCACTTGGCTTGCGTGAATGTAGTCCGCTGGAGTTGCCAGGGACATCTTCTAGCATCCGGCGGGGATGATAAACTCGTAATGATCTGGAAGTTAACAGGTGAAGGAAGCTCCACAGTGTTTGGCAGTGGTGGAAAAGTAAATGTCGAAACCTGGAAGTGTACACAAACATTAAATTCACACAATGGGGATGTGTTGGACCTTGCCTGGGCGCCGCACGACGGCTGGCTAGCATCTGCAAGCGTTGACAACACGGTAATTATTTGGAACACACAGAAATTCCCTGAAAAAGTTGCTGTTTTAAAAGGTCACACAGGAATGGTTAAAGTAAGTTGTAATAGCATTTAAAAAATAAAATAAAATAACCATTTTAAAAATAAATCTAGGGTGTAACTTGGGATCCAGTTGGAAAATACATCGCGAGTCAATCGGATGATAAATCTCTAAGAGTATGGAGAACTGCCGATTGGCAACAACAGGAAGTAGTGACTGAATCTTTTGAAGATTGTTCAGCAACAACGCATGTGTTACGCCTGTCGTGGTCTCCTGATGGTCAGTATTTAGTATCAGCTCATGCTATGAATGGGGGTGGGCCCACAGCGCAAATTATTGAGAGGGATGGATGGAAACAAGATAAGGATTTTGTTGGTCATAGGAAAGCTGTGACATGTGTTGTAAGTAATTATTTTATTAAAAATATGGTTAACTAGCTTTTCCCCTGTTGCTGCGCCATCTGGAATTGAAATATTGAACTATAAATCCTTATTTTAACTTTCATCACTTATTAAACACCCTATATGTTATAATTTTCAATCAAAAAGTATTCTATATTCTCCACAATACTCTTGAGAATGTCTATACAAAATTTCATGATGATCCATTGAGTAGTTTCCGCGTTAAAGCATAACAAACAAACATTTATAAAAAAAAATTATAATTCCAGCGTTTCAACTCGAATATCCTCAAGAAAATCACCCCTGGCAGCCCGAAAACCCAACAATACTGCTGTTGTGCGATGGGTTCACGTGATCGTTCCGTAAGCGTATGGCTGACATCTTTAAAACGCCCATTAGTAGTCATAAAAGACCTCTTCGACGATAGTGTCCTAGACATCTCATGGAGCAGCAATGGTCTGCACGTAATGGCGTGTTCCTGGGACGGCACAGTCGCTTGTATTATGTTCGATAAGAACAGCATCGGCATAACGCTCTCCGAATCCGAAAAGGATTCACTCTACGAACGCATGTACGGTAAATCTCTGCAGCGTAATTTGATGAATTCCAGCTTTGTGGGCAGCCAAATCATTGAGAATCCGGAATTACTCAGCGCCATGGACGAGTTGAATGATAATAATAAACAGAAAGAAGAAGATCGCATCACGATTGATATTCCGAAAGTGGTTCCGCAGATCCAGTTGGAATCACCGAAGCCAGGGAATGTTTTAGCTCCGGTTAATCAACAAGTTGAGACACGATTGCCCAGTGGAAAGCGGAGAATTACTCCGATGTGTTTGAAACCCGTTCCGTCAACACCAACAAAGTAATTATATATTTTAATTGAATATTTGCATAAAATTGAGCTTGAGACAGAAGTTAAAAATGAATTTTTGGAAATAGTTTTTAAATTATCAAAGAAATACAAGTCACGTAATGTAAAACGTGATTTTTGCGTCATATTTTCTTTAAAAATGCATTTTTAAGCAGATTGTTCTTAAAAACCAAATAATTTAGAGATTTGTGCAAGAAAACCACAAGAAACAATCAAAAAACAGCAAAAATCATGCAAATATTCAATTATTTTATAAATATCTAAACATTTATCTATATTTTTTGTTTAGTAGTTCATTAGAAGTACCAACCGTGCAGAATAACACATCATTCAGTTCATCATCGCCTTCTAAGAGTAAAATTGTCGTTGTAAAGGACGATACACAACTGAGTACTATTTCATCGCGAGCTACAACACCAGTGCAAGCAATAGCGGCATCCTCAGCGGTGCAACAAGTCCAAAGAACACAATTAGCGATGGCACGACCACCAGGCGCACAAATCACACAACTCACTTGTTGTGAAGTGCCCGGCGATCAACCAATCATACAATTTGTCAATGTATTGGATCCACAGAAGATGCCACCTGGACAAACTGTCACCAAACTTAACGGCGTTATGAAAATACAGGTAAATATCAAATTTCAGCTTAAATTGATTATTTACTCATAAAATATTAATTTTTTGTTATTTTTAATTTAAATAGATTACCAATGCATGTGTGACAACACCAAAAGGCAAATTAGCGCGCATAGAAATGTTTAAAACCGTCGATGATAAATCCCCGATGTGGGAGACTTATCTAGGCTCACAAATCAAATGCGTTAGCTCAAGTCGCAAGTACGTTGTGGCATGCTGCGAAGATTTCAGTGTGAATATCTATAAAGTCAATTCAGGCGCGCGGGCATTACCGCCGTTACTTATCGAAGACACTGCTGCTGCTGTGTGTCAAAGTGACACTGACAAATGCCTCGTGTTGACGAAAACTGGATTATTGCATATGTGGAAGATTGATACACAAACATCACTCCTAAATCGTGTTTCTCTCAGGAATCTACTCACAAATAAAGGTATTACTTCAATAATTATGATTAAAATGTTATTTATGTGAATTATTTAAATATTTTCAGCTTCTGTGAGTGGTTGTTCAATTTCCTCCACAAACATGCCGATTGTTACACTCTCCGATGGCCGTGCGTATACTTACAACCTGGATTTGCAGACGTGGATAGCCCTGTCGAATCCTCTGGACCCGATCTCACGCAGTGGCGGTATTCTTGCGCGGTCTGTAGCGCCTACATTGCCTCTGGCGTCTTTACAGAGACAAATGCCGGTTGTTGCATCGAATGATAGTTTACCACACAGCGTAAAACTCAGTTTTCTTGAGTGTCAGGTAGCTTCAAGCATTGTTTTACAGTCGAGTGGAGAGTTTAAGCACTGGCTGCTTGCAACAGTTAATCATTTATTAGAAAAAGGCCCTGAGGTGCGTATTAGGCACATTTTAGATGATTTATTAGGGCCTACACATCAATCTGGACGTACAACGACTTCGAATTTTATTGTGGTGAGTTTAAAATTAATTTTTTTAGGTTATAGGTTGATTTTTGTGATTTTTTTAAAGGGTTTATCGAAAAAGACACTGCTCAAAGAAGTACTAGATGTAATCAAAACCAAACTGCCATGGCAAAGACTGTACAAAGAATACGCCGAACAATTTGCGCTAACTTCGTTTTAGGTTATTAAGTTTTTTATTTGATTTTTTACATTATCTGTACCAGTGACTTGATTACACTGTAAACAACTACGAAAATCTACTCATATGATCATCAACTTCAACTGACTTTGTTTTGTAGCTTTTGTTTCTCATTCTCCCAGTATTTTCGCTCTGCTGCTACATATTTCTCCATGTCATTCAATGGTTTGTAGAACATGTGAACTGTTTGGGAACCGGCAAGCATTGCAAGTAATGCAGCAGTGGTGAACTTCAAGTATGTTGGCCAATCAACACCAGCCGGCATTTTGTAACTAGTATTTTATTAAGATTGCTGACTTTGTTCGTAATATTCTCTTTCAAGGATATTCTTTGCTTGGCGTTTTTTATATGTATGATCTAAGATATATAATGAAAAGATTTATGTATATTTATTGATTGAAATTGTTTAAATTACTTACAAAAGTTTGTTTTGCCAACTTGCCAGTTGATCATTGAAAACTCTAATGCAGCACCAAGGCAAAAGAAGAGAGGAAGGAAGCGATAGACACCAAAGTATTGCTTGCCAGGCCACTTGTCCAAAGCGCGTCTTATTGCTGAACGCTTTGGAATCACACGCATAATTTATTTAGAAGTTTTCATTTAGATTTATCAATTTATTTGTATTTTTATATATGGAAATGTGTAGCCATGGTTAGGTTATATAAATTTAGTTTGATTTATCATCAATGGAGAGCGCAGCTCAGCTTGTTCTTGAAATAGTTTATCTTTAAATTTAAAATTCACACTTGAAATGATAATCTTTCATTGATAAAACGTTTAATTGTTATTTATTGATGATGTATAAGCGGTTTTATCTTGGAAAGTACCAAGATACTTGGGTTTTTCAGTCGGAACAAGTATATATAACCGCAAATTGTTGTAAATCATAAAATCTTTTTCACGAAACAAGATGGCCGCAATTATTAATGTATTTATTGCTTTCTTTGCCACTGTAATAACTATCCAAGGTTAGTATTACTAATAACTGAATAGAATTTAAGTATATTTAACTAAAACTTAAATTACAGGAGCAAGTATTAACAACCGTATTGTTGGTGGCCAACCAGCCGCCCCCGGTCAATTCAAATACATCGCCTCCCTTCGCCAAATAAGCACCGACCGCCATTTTTGTGGAGCAGTCATAATCAGCCCCAAGCATTTAATAACATGCGCCCAGTGTCGACACCCAATTGAACAAATCGAGGTCCTAGTCGGTGTGACCAAACAAGACGACCCAAATGGTCAACGTCACCTAATTGAGTCTTTCCCCATACATGAAAATTTCAATTCAGCCACGGGCATGAATGACATCGCCGTCATTACTATAAAAACTGAAATCACATTTAATGATGTTACACAACCGATACAGTTACCCAAACATCGTGTTGTAGATAAGGAACGTTTATCTGCTGCTGGTTGGGGACACACCAGCTATCCCGATGGTGCCAGTGCGAATGATCTGCAGTGGATGCAGATGAATGTAGTGTCACCTGAAGAATGCCACGAATTGACTGGTTATCCCGTTGGGGGGCAGATTTGTACTTTGGAGTCGAAGGGTCATGGTATGTGCAGAGCAGATTCGGGAAGTCCACTTATTCATACAATTGATGGTGTTGATGAGGTTGTTGGCCTGGGCAGTTCAGTGTTCTTGTGTGCGCAAGGAAAACCTGACTTTTTTACTGATGTTTATTTCTTTAAGTATTGGATATTGAATCATAGTGATTGATAAGTAATAAATAACCATAATATAGAGCTGAATATAGGTACCTTATTAAGGCCAAAAAGGGTCAGGCACGACTGAGAGTCTTTTAAACCTGCGGGTGACCTGAAAAAAGTAGTGGGGGAAGATTGAACTTATATCTTAATAAGTAATATAAAATTTGGTGTGTTTCTAACATTGAATGTTTCACAAAATGGCGGCGAGTATACCTTTACTAGAGGAACCATCTTAGTTGCAGCCATTTTTATAATTTTGAGGTTATTATCATGAAATCTCCTTTTATACCACTACTACTACTCAATTAATTATTAAAACACAATGATGTCACCTGATAAGATAACAAATGACTTGCAAAACTCTCAATATCTACTTTCTAATCAATCTTTATTCAAACAATTACAATTTACAAATTTCCATTTGAAACAATCCAATCCCTGAAGTAGTAGACATCGGTAAAGAAGTCTGGCATACCAAGAGCGCACAGGTACGCAGCTGAGGTAATACCAACAATCTCATTCAGTTCATTGACAAGTGGGCCACCGGAGTCCCCAGAGCACACACCTTGACCCTCCTGTTCCAAAGTGCAGATCTTACCCGTAAGACTAGCACCGGTAATCCATTGACACAAATCATGGGACACCACATTCATTTGCATCCATTGCAAATCATTGGGGACGTTTCCAGGGTAGCTGGTCAATCCCCATCCGGCACTGGTTAGACGTTCGTCATCAGAAATAGCACGGCTGGCCAAAGGTAGAGGTTGAACCAAATCACCGAATTCAATATCTTCTTTGAGGATAATCACAGCGACATCGTTGGTAATGGAAGAGGGTTCATAGTTTTCATGAATAATGAAAGCTTCCAATTCGTGACGTTTGGCGTTCTTATCGTCTTGTTTGTTGGTACCTACCACAGCAACGGTTTCGCTTACCTCGTAGACTTTGCAGTGGGCAGCGGTCAGGAGGACACGTTTACCAATGATGGTAGACCCACAGAAGTGACGGTCCTGTCCTGCCTGACGCAGGGATGCGATGAATTTGAACTGGCCGGGTTCAGCGGTGTTACCACCAACAATACGGTGATTAAGGCTTGCGCCTAAAAGTTTTAAAGTTAAAGTTTAATTATTTAGATTTAAGGTTAGAATAATGAAGGTACCATACCTTGAGCAAGTGCAAAAATGGCACACAGAGCAATGAAAGCCTTCATGATGGCGAATGACTAGGATTTCCACAAAATGGCGTTTTATACTTTCGAGAACAATCAACACCACGTGATTTTAATTCATTTCAAAACTTATCAAATATTTGATGTAGATAAATCCCCTAATGTAAATCACGTGAAGTACATGATGACGAACAATAATTTGATCTATTTATTAATCGATAATGTCAATATTATAACCGTTTGGATACTGAATTTTATTCACTTTAATGTGGCACCTGCACAAAATGTTTGGGGGTCACCAAAATTAGTTTATCTGTTGCTGGTGACCCCTGAAAGTAAATTAGACAACCCGTGGCTATAATTGGAACAAATTTCACTGGAAGTGATCAAATTTCAATGCCCAGATAAAGCTCAAGTAGCAGAGATAGGCAATCTAAAGTACCTACAGTGTAGGTACCTACAATGTGCACTTGTCAAGCACTTTTCAACCTCAAGACCCAGAAATCGTATAAATTCTACTTTCCACTCATTCGTGCCACATTCACTTCTAATCAACAACAAGAATCATGAAGGTTCTTCTAGTCTTAGCCCTCTGTGCGTTTTTGGGTACCACCCAAGGTAATACTTTATTTCTACTTAAAATTTTTCTTAAAAATTGATTTTTTTCTTTGAATTTCTCATTAGGACGTAGTCTGGATACAAAAATAGTTGGTGGATATGAAGCAGCACCTGGTCAGTTCACCTACCAAGTATCCCTGCAACGTGACGTGGACCATTACCATTTCTGTGGTGGTACCATCATATCTTCCAAAACCGTCGTGACTGCAGCCCACTGTAAAGTGGATTATGTTGAGTTGCCTAACATGCGCGTAATGGCAGGCGCAATCAACATCCACGATCCCAACGCTCAACGCCATGTTGTTTCCCAGTTCATCATCCATCCGGAATACAATTCTTCATTAATTACTTCAGATATTGCTGTGGTAATCATCGAGGACACGTTTGAGTTCAACGATTTGGTTCAACCAATCAATTTGGTCAATCGTATTGTTCCTCCTTATGAAGGTGGTGTGGTTACCAGTGGATGGGGATATACCGAATATCCTTACCCACCTTCTGGTGCCCCAGTTGACCTGAAGTACCTTCCTGTTAACATAATCAGTGATGATGAATGCGCGCCTTTTTCCTATTACCTCGAAGGAAAAATCTGTACCCTTCACTCAAAGGGTAATGGCGTCTGCTCAGGAGATTCAGGTGGTCCCCTGGTCAGCAGTAACAGGGAGTTAGTAGGTGTGACCTCATCAGCATTCCTCTGCGCCACCGGAAAACCGGATTTCTTTACCGATGTCTACGTGTTCAAGAGTTTCGTTGAGCAAAATATGCAATAAGCAATAGAGAACCTTATCACATAGTATCTAAAGTGTGTTTTTTAATCACTTTTTACATTCCTCGCCATGTTTACCCAGTGATAATCAAAAAGCGGCGTGACACCCGAAATTGTGCGTTTTAAACAATATTATCGCTAATCAGAAGCGAGCAGTTCCTTTCTCCGATCAGATGTCGAAGTGATAACCTGAGATAATGGCGCGTGCGATTCCATCTTTTGTTTTAGTTGCAACGGTCGCCATCTTGTCTAGTATTGCGCCATGTGGTAAGTATAAGTGTAGCCTACGATTTCCCTCACAAAACTAATAGATATCTATCCGTAAGATGGCGGGGTGATACAAAATGGTGGAAAATCACGACCGCCAAGAGTCGTTGGAGGATATAATGCCACCGAAGGACAATTTAAATACGTCGCATCCTTGCAAGTCTTCAATAAGTTACATTATTGTGGTGGTGCCATTATTTCACATCGTACAATCCTCACAGCTGCACATTGTGCGAAAAACTATGATGTATACGCCATGATTGGTAGTATATACTATCAGGACTACACTGCAAAACGGTACCACGTCAAGGAGTTTATAAAACATGAAGATTTTGATCCTGTGACCTTGAATTATGACATTGCTTTGGCAATACTCAATGAAAGCATAGATTTTGACGATGATGTCGAACCGATTCCTTTGGTAACAAGAAAATCCCACGTGGGGGAAAGAATGGTCCTTAGCGGATGGGGATATACAAACACCCCGCCCCCAGCACAGGTCCCACCCAATCAGATGCAATGGATGCAGACAAATGTAGTGACTGAAAGTATCTGTGACGATTTCCATCCGGATGTTGACACGAATGTTTGTGTGTTTGAATCGAAAGATCATGGAATCTGTTCGGGGGATTCCGGGGGACCATTGGTCAATGGCGACGGGGAATTGGTGGGGGTTATATCCGCCGGATATGCGTGCGCGTTGGGTTATCCTGACAGCTGTACAGATGTTTATATGTTAAAGGATTGGATTATTAAACATAGTGTCTGATAAGTTGACCTTCATTTGCCTCAACTAGTATTTCCCTCCACCATTTTGCTTTGTGTGTAACAGCTGCACATGAAGCACGAAACCAGTTGTTGTTAGTGTCTCGATACTTACGCACGCCATAGAATATAGAATAAATTAATCTAACATTAAATTAACGCGTATTTAATTAATTAATCAATAATCAATGTGATAATGTGATAATTTCCATGTTTTCGCATAATTTCCCAGTGATGCACTATAAATGATAAATAAAACGCTTGAACTTTGCGCGTTGTGAATAAAATTAGAACGAAGCATCAAGTCACGTAGAACTAATCGGGAATAATCAATTGTACGCATCAACACGCACATTTAATTAATCATCCATTTTGCTGACAATAATGAGGGAATGCGAGAAATGTGCGACATGTGTGAGGTTTGGAATGAGTCAAATCCTGCGTCGAACAAAGCGTGGCGATGATAAAAAATACGTACGAGTAGTACACATTTAATTTGAATAAAACGCGAGCGACAGACGCAAGTGTAAAGTGTGAGCGCGCGCGTTTCCTAAATCAATGTTTTGTGCGTTATTTAACAGTTTGAAAGGTCAGATTGTGTGCTTTGGCATGATGAAGCACTTTGGAAATGTCGAAACAATTGTGATGTTTATTCTGTGTTTAAATTTAGTACACAAAAACAATGGTAACTCAAAAAACTTAGAATTTTGTTGTTTTTTGTGGGAAATAATTGGTTTATTTGTAGGAATACCAAAGGAGGCATTCATGAGTGATAAATTTATAGTTGGACGCATTGCAGAATTGGAGGATTTTCCTTTCATGGCGTCTTTGAGGATCAAATCGGTGCATTATTGCGCGTCGACGATTATTCACCCGAAATGGGCCATTACTGCAGCGCAATGCTACCAAATGTATAAATAACTCAACTATTTATAATCTTTTACGTCCTGAATCAGTTAAACTTTAATTTTTCCTTTAAAAAAACCATTTTAACGTTTTTAAAACTAAAAAAATTCTTTAATTTACAGAGTGCCATTTTCTGACTACACAATTGTCTCATCCACACAACAATTAAACTACAATTCTGGTCTGGAACACAAAGTAATCAATATAACTCTAAGTCCAGATGGGGATTTGGCTCTGCTTGAAATCGCAGACACTTTTAAAGAAACCCCAGCGATTCTAACGAAAAACATGCTTGGAAACTTTGAATTGGGAATAATCGTTGGCTGGGGTTTCACTGCAACGCCAGGAACTACTCCAAAAGACCTCCGAATGGTTTACCTTCGAATAATGCAGGATTCAGAGTGTAATGTTAGATATAATGATTACAAACCTAAAGCTGGTTTGATTTGCATGATGCCAAAGTCAAAACATCTCGGGATTTGTACAGGAGATGTTGGTGCACCGTTAGTAGCGAATGGAAAAGTGTATGCTGTGGCTGCATGGCGAAAAAACTGTCTGGACAATGGTCCTGAAGTATTTTATAGTTTACCTTATCGATACCAGTGGATAACCAGTGTGATTATGTGATACATGACAAATTTGTGATTTGTACAAAGACTATTCTATTTAATAATTGGAATTATATATTTTACTGACTCAACATTACATAAAAACAGGTATGATAACTTAACTGAAGAGTTTTTTATATGTAGCTTTGTCTTCTTCGGTTTTTTGCTTTACGAGATCCTCTAATGTTTCAAGTTCTTTCTTAACTATTGAAGAAATGCTAGGATCAAGGGTTAGGGCACGATTGAAGTCTTCACGGGCGAGATCAGGATTCCAGGCACCTACGTGTCCTTTCCCACGTCGAAAAAGTGCTTTTACATTATCTAAAGTTTAAAAAAATGATTTTAACCTCAATTATTGTTATGAAAGCAAAATATTTGATTAGTTATTGCCATACCTGGTTCAGTTTTTAAGACTGTAGTACAATGTTCAATGACAGCATAAAAATCACCCTCAAACAGTTTGCATTGTGCAAAATTCAACAAATATGGAACTTGTTGTTTTGATATTGTGGTCCATTCAGTATCATGCGGCTTCTCCCTACATGCAAAAATTTTATTTAAAAATTATGAAATATTTATTGTGATTTGCATACTTTAGTTGTAATTGTTCAAGCATTCCAATTGCTTGTGCATAATGCTCAGCTGCTTTGCTATAATTCTTGTTTTTGAATTCATTATTACCCATTTCCTTCAACTTTGGAATTCTTTCTATTCTTTCATCTTCACTCATCTGCCAAGTTTCCTTCTGATAGTCCTCAGGTTGCAGCACCTCCACCAATTCTAGAATAAACTCCAGATCACATGGTTCTTTCATAAGCTCATTCAAATCCTCATAGCCTAAACCAGATTGTTGAATGCCCAGGGCACAAGTGTGTGTTGTTTCATGCTTGTGTAAATGAACATCTCTGAGTGTTTTTGCCACAAATGGATATTGGGAGACTAACTAAAAACCATAAAATTTAATAAATATAAAGTTTAACATGTTATTATGATGTGCAACTCACAGATTTGTCAATTGTAAACTGTGCAACTTCATTTAATGCTAGTTTCTTTATGATTGCCTCCCAGACTTCCATTTTGAATTTTTTACCCAGCACCAGCTCCATGGGATCCCCATGGCCTATCTTTCTAGAATCGTCTAGAAGGGTTCGTTCCGGGTTGCATTTCCGTGTTTGATAGTGAAACTTGACCTAGAGTAATGAATGAATGGATGAATAATAATGTTTCTGGTTTGTTTTTGGATGATTACTTGCCTTTGTGCCGTTTTGAAAGTGTACTTGCTTCGTACCAGCGTGCAAGACTTTCTTGATGACTAGTTCTTTATCTTGGCTCATTGTTAAGCTGGGTTATTAATTAACTACGGACTAATAAATGTAATAAACTTGTACAAATTGACTGGAATTGATCGTGTTTGAAAGTCAGCTGCTCATGACGTGCCTGACGTCAGAAATGTCAATAATGCTTTCAGAATGGATTCATTTATTATTTAAATAATAATTTATACTAAAGGAGCTAACTAGGAAAATAACAATTGAAATGTTACTTATGCTTTATGAATAAAGAGTTCTTGTTTCTTGAACTTTTTTTTTTAATTTATGTTATTTCCAAACATCGTGCTTATTTTCTTGGTTAGAAATAAACAAGTTGTCTTCACGTTTATTTTTTGTTAACAAAATGAGTGATTATCGTGATAATAAGAAAAGAAAGCAGTACTATGGTCTGAAATATACAAAACGAGCTCGAACAGCAGTAGAAGCAGGCTTGAAAGGATTCCTCTGCAGTTGCAATGGCCACGAAAAAGAATGCGTCAAAGAATCTTACAATATCCTCAATAAATTCGCTGATATTCTCTACAAGCCACAAAATGTCCCATCCACCAACGAAAAAGACATTGAAGATGACCTCTCTTCGGAAATCGCCAGTTTAAAGAAGGAATTTCGCTTCAATTTGATGGAATCAGGAGCAAAAAATCTACTTTTCATCAAAACTTCTGTTGAAGACCCTGTAGCTTTAGCAACAACGATTGTTAAAGATGTTCAGGAGCAAAATAATCCTCAGACTAGATTTCTAGTCAGGCTGGTTCCAATTCAACAGACTTGTAAAGCATTCATGGAGGATATCACTGCTGCCAGTAAATTATTACTGGATACACATTTACCATCCAATAAGACGTTTTCTATTGTTTATAATCATAGAAATAATAACAATTTAAACAAGGAGAAGGTTATTCAAGAGGTGGCTGCAGTTGCAGACAGTTTTAAAAGGGATAACAAGGTGAATCTGAAACAACCTGATGTTTGTATTATCATTGAGGTGATTAAGAATATTGTTTTCTTGAGTGTTGTGCCTGATTATGTTAAGTATAAAAAGTTTAATTTGTTGACTGGCACAGTACAAAATCAGGAAAAGAGTGAAAATAATTCAGTTTCAACAGAAAACAAAGGTGATGATGTTAAAACTGAAAATGTTGATACACATGAAGTAAAAACAGATGAAGTTGATGTTAAAACAGAATAAAAACATACTTTTCATGATTTATTTATTGTTTTTATTATTAAAAAGTTTATTTTAGGTAAAAATAAGTTTAAATAAACTTGTCTTAGATAGGCAACCAAATATACAATAATAACCTACAATACAACACGCGTTCTCTTGCTATATTCGAATTACGTCGCAAGATTTATTAGTGATTTATTAAATAAAATTAGTAACAATGGTGCGTCGACAAAACAATCAACTACCAGACAACCTCCCACAACTACAGAATTTAATCAAGCGTGACCCCCAGTCCTATCATGAAGAATTCACTCAACAATTACAACATTTCAACAACACAGTGGAAGTCTTCGAACTCAACCCAGAACAACAAAATAAATCCCTTGATGAGCTTGCTATGTTCATGGCACAGGTAGCACAGTGTTACCCAACGGAACTACAAGATTTCCCACAAAAACTTATAAATTTATTAGAAAAACACAACACTGTCTTGGAAAACAGCATGAGGATGACTTTCTGCCGAGCATTAATCCTCCTCAGAAACAAAAACCTCCTTGCCCCCACAGATCTTCTAGAATTATTCTTCAAACTCCTGAGATGTCAGGACAAAGCCCTCAGGAGTTTCCTAGAGCAACACATTGTCACAGACATCAAAAACCTGAATTCCAAACATAAAAATGTGAAACTCAACACAACTCTTCAAAATTTCATGTTTACCATGCTCAAGGACACAAATTCAAGAGCAGCCAAGATGTCGCTTGATATTATGATTGATCTCTACAAGAAGAACGTCTGGAACGACGCAAAAACAGTCAATGTCATTGCCACAGCTTGTTTTTCAAAAATCATCAAAGTACAAGTCGCTGCATTGAAATTCTTCCTTGGAAAGGACCCAGACGAGAAGGATTCCGACGATGATGACTCCGATAAAGAAATAGACCCCCGCGAAGTGATGATGGCGAATAAAGTCAACAAAAAAACCCGCAAACGCGAGAAACAACTCGTGAAAGTCAAGAAAGGAGTGAAAAAACAACAGAAAAAGAAATCCAACGCAGTTAGCTTCAATTTCTCCGCATTACAACTCGTGCATGATCCACAGGGAATGGCAGAGAAATTATTTAAACAATTAGAAACATCCACGAAAAGATTCGAAGTGAAATTAATGACTTTGGATGTTATTTCCAGATTGATCGGCTTGCATGATTTATTCCTGTTTAATTTCTATCCGTATTTGCAAAGATTTTTCCAACCACATCAACAGGAAGTCACGAGGATATTACAGTTCACTGCGCAGGCGTGTCACGAGTTGGTTCCACCCGATGTGATTGAACCCGTGCTGAAAACAATCGCGAATAATTTCGTCACTGAGAGAAACTCCAGTGATGTTATGGCGATTGGTTTGAATGCTATCAAGGAGATATCATCAAGGACTCCGTTGGCTATGAGTGAAGACTTAGCGCAGGATTTAGCCATGTATAAAACTTACAAGGATAGGTCGGTTATGATGGCGGCCAGGTCGCTGATTCAATTGTTTAGACATGTAAGGCCTGAATTATTACATAAAAGAGATAGAGGTAGGCCTAATGAAGCAGCTGAAGAGTTAGAGAAGTTGGAATATGGTCAGGTTAATGCTAAAGACTTTATTTCGGGTGCGGAGGTGTTAATGAAGGAAACACACGATGAAATTGAGATTGATTCGGATTCTGCGTCGGATGATGAAGAATGGGTTGATATTAAACATTCTTCTGATGAAGAAGATGATCAGGAAGATAATTCAGATGAAGAAATTGATGATGATGAAGATATAGATGAGGAAAGTGATGAAGAAGGTGAAGAAGTTGATTCTTCGCCTAAGAAACCGAAGTTAAAAGGTAAAGAACGCAAGGTTTTATCGAAAAAGATAAAAACCGAGCAGGCACAACAGGTTTCCATTGGTAGATTATTAACTGATGAAGATTTCAAGAGGATTGATATAGCTAATGCTAAGAAACAAGTAACAACTGCTTCTAAAGGTATAAAACGTAAGCTGGAAGAAGAAAACGCTAAGAAAGATCCGAGTGGGTTGGTAAAACTCGGTGATATTGAGAATATCTACAAGAAACGTAAACATGATAAGCAAGCGCGTATTGAAGCAGTGCGTGCGGGTCAAACCGATCGCGAAAAGTTTGGTTATAAAGATGGCCGTCAGAATGAGCATTGTTCGAAGACAAATCGTGAAAAGAGGAAGACTAAAGCTTATCAGATGATTAGGCATAAAGCTAAGGGTAAAGTAAAGCGCAGTTTTAAGGATAAACAAATTGCGCTGAGGAATCACTTGACAAAGTTGAAGAAAATGCGTTAATTTTACATAAAATAATAATTAAAAAAATTATGTAAGTCGAAATGAATTGAATTGTATTGTATTGAGGAATAAAGTGGATTTATAGTATAATGCGTTATCTGTAGATACTTATAAATAAAAAGACACTACGTGATTAATAAAGTGTCTCGTCTAGGAGTTAAATAATTATAGGTTTTTCTCTAGAGATGTGTATAATTCCAGAACATGAAAGCGGAAGCTTGGATAATCAGTAAATTCGATGATAATGTTTGCATAATTCAGAGATGCACTTGAGTTGAGTACATTGTTGTAGATTGTGATGTTTTCGGTGCTTTTTTTCGAATATCTATTCCGGAATTTGTAAAAATAGCGACAATTCATATTAATTTGGTGATTTTGATCGGAATTACCTTGTTAGAGTTTGGAACTTGATAAGAAACATGTAGTTCATTGAAAAAATGCGCAGTTTGGGTTTTTTGAGGAAGTGTACATTTATTTTTGAAGGTTATGTCATTTAACCTATTTTATTTGCTACAAAACACATGAAAAATTGTAAATTGTGGGTTAAAAACACAAAATTTGCATTTTTTGGAACTGGAAAAGGTTTCTATTATGTTTTAGAAGTTATAATCACTTCATAACAGCATTTTATAGATTCTGGACACACAAAACAAGCAAATTTTGTAATTTTTGCGCATTTAAAACGTTTTGTTTCAATTCTTCTTTATCATACCGAAGAAAACACATTATTAGGTTTTTAATTTGCTCAAGAGAAGTAATAATACGTTTTCTTGATGAAATAAACATTTGTTTTTGCTTTTTAAGCAATTTAAACCATTTTATTTGCTACAAAACACATGAAAAATGATAAATTTTAGGTTAAAGACACAAAATTAGCATTTTTTGAAACTGGAAAAGGTTTCTAATAAGTTTTAGAAGTTATAATCAGTTCAAAATAGTATTTTACAGAATTTACACACACAAAACACTCAATTTTCATATATTTTTTACCATTTTAATGCATTTATTGAAAATTTTCCTTGTTAAATCGAAAAAATATCATTTTGTGTGCTTAATTTAGTCAAAACGAATAATTCTGTAATATTTTTGATAACATGTACATTTCTTTTTGCATATAATGCAATTTAAACTAGTTTATTCACTACAAAACATAAAATTGCATTTTAAAAGCAAATTATTTGCACTTTTTGTAACTTATAAAGCTTTCTAATATATTTTACACACTAAAATCACTCCATAAGAGTATTTTCTAGATTCTAAACCCACAAAACAAAAGAATTTCGTAGTTTTTACTATTTTATTGCGTTTTTTACTACTTTTAGCTATAAAACCGAAAAAAACTCAATCGCTGTATATAATTCCGTCCAGAAGAGTAATTCTATCGCCTTTTTTATGCGTTGTATACTCGAACCAGTCCACACGTTAATCGTAATCAACTACGTGCCCGATTACATTGAAACAATTAAAACGGCTTAAATTTATTGCCGTGACTAACATTTGTCATCGAACACTCGCTCGTTCGGTGCAATCCATCCCCCCTGTAGGGAATTGAACGCGTCACATGCATACGGCGAAGGAAACGCAAGCAAAAAATTCAAATAAAGATAAAATGTTTCATTTATTTCGATGTATCGACCTGCTTCTACTCTAGCAAACAGTGCAACAGCTACTGACAAATTAGATACCTACATACTGCTAGTCATATAACGTCAAACTCCCAACTTCAAGTTCGACTTCGCTTTCATTTCCAGTATACACACACGTTTAATTCAGTAATTCAGTGCAAGTTGTGCGCTCCACAAAGCGTGTGTTGATTCACCATCGTTTAAGGTTATGAGGAAATTGTTCAAAGTTTAATTTATTCTGTTAGAACTTCTCAAGATGGGAATGTTTAACATCAACAAGAAGTTGTGGCCCATGAAGGCACATTACTTCCTCTGGAATGCTGGTAATTCATCAAAATTATCAAACATTAAACATTCATTGTGTAATCCTTTTGTTTTATATTCAGGAACTGCTCCTGTGACACCCTTCCTGACAGTTTATGCAAAACAACTGGGATTTTCTAGTTTTATTGTGGGGATTATCTATACAATTTTACCAATTTGTGGAATGATTGCGAGGCCTATGTTTGGAGCAGTTGCAGATAGATACAAGTGTCAAAAGAGGATCTTTTTGATGAATCAACTGCTTACTGCTGTTATGTTTCTGGCAATTCTTTACATTCCTGAAACTACAACTGTGAGCAGGGCACACTTTGCTTGCCACTCGAGTGAGAGTGTTTTTGATGTTTGCTGGAATAATCGGACACATAGACATGCAGATAGGAATTTATTTCAATTGGAACAATTGGAGGATGCACATTTGATTGGTGATACTACTAATTGTGAGGTAAGAATAGCAAGAATTGCGGTATTGACTGGAAAAGTGCATTTTTGACAGTTTTTTTGCTTTTAACATGCATTTTATAAATGCAAATTTATTATAGACTATGATAAGTAGATTCTGAAGCGTTGATTTTTACTGTTTTACTGTGTTTTTTACTTATTTTGGCTGTAAAACCTACAAAAATCATTTTGTATGTTTAATTGCATATTATTTTGAGGTTAGAATAGGAAAATAGCGTCATTACATAGGAAAACACCTCATTTGGTCGGTTTTTCGGTTTTTTTATTTTAATATTCATTACATATATGCAAATGAATCATAAACAATGATAAGTTGATTATGAAGCATTGATTTTAAGTAAATATTGCATAAATATAGGAAAACTAACCTAACAAATCCATAAAATCAAAATGACGCATTAACCTCAACATTTAACAAACATTTCCCTTCTTAACTGATTACTAACCAATAAATTATTACTATTTCCAGCTGAATTGTCCCCTAAATGACAAAATGTGGTACACAGTAAAATCCTGGTGGAACTACAGTGACCAATCCGGCTTGAACTTAAAATTCAACGCACATATCCCCATAGACAAAGCCGAACAATTCACAGAAGACTGCATCATCTTCAAAATCTCAAACATAACCCTACCTAACCAAAAAACACTGGTCCCAAGATGTCCGGCGAAAGACAACGCAATTTCTTCATTTTGCGACATCAAATGCGACTCGCAGTACCTCAACTCACTAGTACCACGTCAAGTTGTCGACGACAACGTGATCATCGGCTCGTATCAATTCTGGTTGTTCGTTACCTTCATGATACTGGCATGGATAGGCCAAGCTGTAGTCATCAGCGTGTCCGACACAATCTGCTTTGAATTACTCGGTGATAAACCAAGCAAATACGGCAATCAACGGTGTTTTGGTTCACTGGGATGGGGAATCTGTGCGGTTATTACTGGACTCATCGTGGACGCCACCAGCGAGGATGATAACAAATCAAATTACACTTATGCGTTTTATTTGGGCTTCACGATGATTCTCTTGGACTTTTTGGTGTCATTTAGACTAAAGGTAAATAAGGTTTCTGTAATTTTTGCATTTTTATATGATTTTTAATGATTTAATCATTGTTTGATGATTTTTTTGTTTCCAGACTGAGCAAACAAATGTTTCCGTCAATATCCTCCGTGATGTGAGTCAATTGTTAACGGATGTACGCGTGTGTGTATTCATCCTCTGGTGTATATTCATCGGGATGTGTACTGGATTGATTTGGAACTTCCTCTTTTGGTTCATTGAAGAAGACCTAGGCGGACGCAGCCACACCTGGATTAAAACACTAGAGGGCATTGTGATGGCAATTCAATGCTTGGGTGGAGAACTACCTCTTTTTTTCCTCTCCGGTTGGATTGTGCGCAAAATCGGCCATGTTAACTGCATGACTTTCATTTTGTTAGCGATGGGATTGCGTTTCATTCTCTATTCTCTACTCAGTGATCCGTGGTGGATTCTTCCTATTGAATTCTTCAATGGGATCACTTTTGGATTGTTTTATGCTTGTATGGCGTCGTATGCTAGTATCATTGCTCCACCGGGGACTGAAACTACAATGCAGGTTACTAGTTATTAACCAAACTTTACATAACCTAAAATATTAAATTTTTGTAATTTTTTTGTTTGTTTTATGTGTTTTAGGGATTGGTGGGTGCAGTGTTTGAAGGAATAGGAGCGTCCATTGGTAGTTTTGTCGGCGGATACATGTTTGAAGAGTACTCTGGTAAAATCACATACCGGATATTCGGGATTGTTTCATTGGTGCTCTGTCTCGTGCACTTCGGTGTACAGCTGCTGATTAAACGCGCTCATAAAGGTGAGAAGAATAATGTTGAGAATGATGCACCTCGATAGTGTTCACACACTCTGTTGCACTTTGTTGCAAAACTGTTGCGACGTTGTTTGTGTTTTGAGGCTTTTGACATGGTGAACGGGGAAAACTAGGTATATTGAATTACACTGGGTAATTATTAATAATTTTCTGAGTAATTCATTAATTGTTAGTTATTTTTATGGAATTTATTAATATTTTGACGGTTTTTAACACTTTTAAAGCGGTTTTGGCGTGTTTCTTTAATTTAATTGGCAGTAACTTAATAACAAAATTATTTTTTAACAATTTAAGGGTTTTATCACTTCATAATTAAGCTGTGTATAAATTTTGTACGTTATAACATCGTAAATAATTTTAAAACATTGATTTCTAGTAGATTTGTGGTGCTAAACATGAAATTATAACAAAATAAGCAGTAAAAACTTTAATTGGCTATGAATTTATCAATAATTAAGTTTATTTATTAAAAAATTTAAATTTTGGTGCAAATTACAGAAGTTTTTCCGACAAATTTTGAAAAAAGTATGAAAAATGGCCAAAAAACAAAAAAATATAAATTAAAACAGTTTGATTGGTATAAATTATTATTCCAAGGATAATTTTACGGTTAATAAGTTGCTATAATCATAGCATGTTGAATTTTACCTGTGCAGCCTGGTGTAAAACCAATTTGAAAGTTTGACACTATTTGCATTTCACTATAATTCAACCGTGCATTTATAAACATGTTTTTGATGTTATGCGCAAGTTTCTGTAATTGTTTTATAACAAAACATGTGATAATTGTTATAATTTTCCAAAAAAAAGTATAAAACATGCCTTATGAGGCGCCATTTTGTACAATTGCTCAAAATTGAGGTTAAACTAATCGAATAAATTCGAATCACTTGTTAACCATTGAAAACAGGCACAAACACAAAACCCACAAGCGTGTGTATCTTTATTAGCGCTAATAACCGAGGACAATCACATCACTTGACTTCTCCGTCCTCGTGTAATTGAAATTTATTGCTGTAGATTACTGTGCATACTGTACTAATTCATTTTTTTTGTATATTGCTACACATTGTGACTTTTGTGTGCTCTTCTTGCTTGCTGTTGACATTTGTTGCTTGTTGACTTAGTTGTAGTTTGTAGATTTGTATTAACTTGCATGATTTTAGGCGATCTGGGCACTTACCGTCCGCCTGATGACACCTTCGAGCCGTTCGTCGACGATGAACAGTCGCAGGAGCTAAAACTCGTCCGATAAACTGCATGATTGTGCAATCAATCAATGTACTTACCGACCTCAACGTTGAATTTAGAGAATTTAGTCTAGTCATGCCAAAATCAACTCCCGAAATATTTCGATTCTTATACTCACTAAGTGTGGTGTGACACTACTGGCACTGGAACATGGATCAAACTGACTAGACACTACCGTCTGTGCCTTGGTGATTCGTGATCTTATCATCAACACGAGTCGAATTAATGTTATTTATTGCATGGGATTATATTCCCGATACCGTGGAGCAGGAGGAACGAATTGCAAGTGAAAGTAAAATGCATTGCATTGTGTTATTAAGTCTAACTTGCATGATTAGAGCACGCCGTTTGTGAGATTTGGTTTTTATTTACTTGGCTTGTGTATCTAAATCTTTACAAACCCTATGATATATCTTTATTAGATTAGATTCTACAGTCATAAATCAATCTGAACTTTGTTCTAAGCTCGTTCGGCATTCCTTTTGTACTTTTACGAATATATTTATGTACGTTAGTCATGAATTAAGCTAAATTTTTGTTCGAAACAATTTAGTTTTGTAGTTTACAGCGAATATAAGTTGTTATTTCTTAGTTTTTATTGACTATTTTGTGTTTTGTATTGTTTTGGTGCTATTATGTTTGTTATTATTTGTTGTTATGGATAATAAATGACTACAATGTCGATGAAATATGATAGTAAAACAAGTTGAGATAAAAATTAAACATTTGTAAGTAATTTACACTTTGATATTGATATTGCCATCTACTGACGATAAATATAACTAATATTTATCAATTTAACGAGTTTTACACTTGCTTTAACCGTTAATTTGTGAAAAACGTGTTTGTTTAATGTTATTCATAATTACAACAATCATCATAATATTTACAACCAAAAATTATTTTTATTTCGTCATAAACAAGTAATAAACAAGAAATTATGATTATTTACGCTAAAGTACGCAATGACTTTGTGTTATATTATTACACAATCATAATTTATATAATTTGAGATATTATTTTGCTTATTTATAGATCTTTACAATGATTATTACGTAAAAATTTAATAAAAACAAAATAATCTTTTCTTTAGTTGTTAGGCAACCCTTCGTACAATGAATGAATTTGTTCTGATTTTCTGATTCAAAACCAATACAAAACCCTGGAAAATGGAAGTAATATTTGTCCAAAACGGACAAATACTTTATTTATTCATATTTGCAACTATTAATGCGTTTAAATTAAACAAAAACAAAATAATCCATTTTTAATTTGATAGGCAACCCTCTTTACAACATATGATTTTGTTCCCTCTCACTATACAAAACCGTGAAAGGTGGAAGTGATGTTCCTACAAAACGTACAAAAACATCGATTACCGCAAAGCGCAAAATGTGCATGGTGTAACAGTAAACATGAAACACAAATCCAAGGCGCCAAGTCTCAGTCGCGATAAATCGCTGGGCGCGCGCGTACGTATCCCGCGAATGACTAGTAATAATTACAAACCCATCAAAATAATGACTTTGATGAATTAGTGTGGGCTGATTTATTGTGTGAATCAAAACTGCTGACAGGCGGCAAGAAAATGGTGCAGGTTCTTAGCAAATTGAGCCCTATAACAGTCACATGCAAGCAGTATGTGCACCCTTGGTCAGACAGCTGTGCAAAGGCCACAACAGGGTTGTATCTCTATGCAATTGTGGATTCACTTCGCATTTATGCAACTGTATACTGTGTAAGTTCATTTGAGCACATTGTGATAAAGGATCAATAGTCCAATCATTGATAATTGTGCAATCAATTGTTGAAGAAGTTATTAATACATTTTTCTTTGTTGTAGCTTGCATTGTTGATGAGAGGAAAAGTTCCAAAGTTGGAGGATATCAAAAAAACCATCAAAGGCATTCTCAGATCCACTGCTTTCCTCAGTTTTAATGCTTTTGGCTATTCAGGATCATTATGTACACTCAGGTAATAACAATTATGATTTTATACTTTGATCTCATCATGAAAAACATAATTATGCTCATAAAGTTGCATAAATCATGATAATCATGCACAAAATGGCGTCTGGACATAATTTAGATGAAGTAATGTTGCATTTTTATAGATATCTTATGGGCCACTACAATATTTTGACAATCTCAGGAATTCCTGCATTCATTGCAAGTGTGATGGCGATTTTAATCGAGCGTCCGTCCCGCCGTCCACTTCTTGCACTGTATGTGACCAACATCGCCACGGAAACCGTGTGGAAGATGATGGTCACACGCAACATGGTGAGGAACATTCCAAAGGGCGAGATTGCGATTTTTGCCGGGAGTTTAGCATTCCTAATGACATTTTTCAAAGCTGGGTATCACAAAAGCGCCAGCAGCGAGCATCCCGATACTATATTTAGCATTTTAAAGTGAGTATGCATTTGAATTTCAAATTCACGTTACGCATACTTGAGAATTAAGTATGGATCAGATAAAAATTTATGGGGAATCACTGATAATACATAAAAATACCTCAAAACACTTGATGTTCTAAGGATTATTACAATCATTTATTGTTTTAGATTTGTTTTTGGTCCGCATGAAGAAAAAGATTATGCTGCACGTTCATCACAAGCGAATAGCATTCATCGCGCGGAGGATAATGAGCAGGAAGCGTCCCGCTTGAATCGGTCGTGGAGCTACCAAAAAAAGAGCAGCAGCACGCTGTACAATCTAGTCATGCAAGCGCTGAAGCTGTATAAGCGATTTGTCTACAAGATCAAGTGTTATTATAGGCACTCGGCTTGTCCGCATCCGTTCAGCTGCGTTTATTACACTCTGCAGGTAAGCGTAAAACAGATTCATAAGTGTTTGTTTATATATCTAATTTGCGTTTACGAGAGACGGGCATTTAGCACGTCATTTATGTTCGGCATAAATAGGTCGTTAAAAGTTCACAAAAGTGATGTGCATGTGATTTGCATGTTTATGATAACTTGTCAAACTGCACCACGTGGTGATTACGTATTTTATCTATTAAGTATCTGTTTTATCGTGTGTTTATTATCAGACTTAAAAATAGCAAAGATATCAGTATTAATACTTGAGATTTTGCTATTGTTTTCGTAATTATATTCAAAACACATGGAGTGTTTATGGATTATATTAAATTTCTCGTTATAATGTGTAACGACGAAAAATATTTTCATTTCTAGCAGTTATGAGCTAGAATATTTTGTTCAAAGACATGACATCGATGGTAACATTTGAAATATTGTTGTAATTATGATCCCAACATCCCTACAAATTGCAATGCAAATTTCTATAACTTAAGCACGATTTTTCAGCTAATTTGTTGGGGTGCACGTTGCGTTTCTAGAAAATCATTTAAACATAACACAAGTGAATACAACTGAGCACAGCGGAATTCATATTTAGACTTCAGGAAATATTTACAGGCATTTTTACAAGAGTAATTGAGTTTTTAACCAGTTTACAAAAGATTAAACAGATGCCGATCCACGCAAAATCCCTTTATTTGAGGTTATAAACTGTAAAATCCGTTTCCAAAAATCCATTTTGTATTATTTTCTTTTGTTACAGAGAAGTACAAAATTGTTTTCAATTGGTCTTGGTTTCCAAATGGGTCTACAACTAATATTCAACCTGAAAACAATCTTAAAATCACCAAAGTCCATTTCCAGCATTCTCTTCAGACAGAAGAACTTAAACATCGCCATGTTTCTTGGTGGTTCCTCGGGTCTATTTACAGTGAGTACCTATATACAACTAAGACTGTAAATTTAATCTTCATATGTTTATTTTAATTGTTTTTTCTTCTTTTCCTAGGCAATAATGTGTTTGTTACGAAGAATAACAAATCAAGATTCCGCCCTACACGCATTCCCAGCCGGATTAATCGCTGGGCTTGCGTTTAATAAATATCCAGACAACACCATAGCTTTGTATGTTTTCTGGAAACTATTACAGATAACATACAATCTTGGTGTGGATAAAGGATACCTGCCGAATGTGCCTGGTTTCATTGTGTTCCTTTACAGTCTGAGCACCGCCATTTTGTTTCACGCTGGGCTCGTTGAACCGCTGACATTACGGACTAGTTATTGGAAGTTTTTGCATTCCATTTCAGGCGGAAGGTAATTAATATTAAAATAAAAAAAAATATTTCATTGTTTTTACAATAATTTTCCTTTAGAATATCCATAATGGATCGGAAAGCAATGGATGTCTGGGGCCTGGACACATCCGGAGCTCTCCAGCAAGTAATGCAACGAACCAAGTCGAAACCAGTGTTGCGCTACTTCCTAGTCGAGTAGCACAACCAAAACCATGGTAATATTAACGCGCGAGCACAAAATCAGTCTTATTACGGGAGTATAATTCGGTTGTTAACTTGTAATCGTGGTGTGGTGGTTTAGTAGGGGTTGGTAATGCGTAAGTAGTCAATGTACACGTTACACTGTAATTTAGTTACCTTTATTGTGTGTGATTGTCAGAAAAAAGAGAGTGAAATAACTCATGGATAGTCATGAGCCATCGACATTTATTATATGCTCTTAATAAGCATAGAAATAGTAACATTTGCGACGAATTATTGTTAATATTAAACTGGTACGGTGATAATTTAAGTGCTCTTGACGATGTTTTTCAACTTTAGTCGGCACGCTCCTAGTCCTTGCACATTCGTAGCATGTACATGTGAATGTTATATCAATAATCGGAATGCACATTGTATGCAAATGTAAGTGTTTTTTTAAATTAAACGATGAAATGGGTTTAGGCTGTCCATTGTGGGGGAATGACTCCAAGTGCACATGATTCAAACATGCTCGTATCTGAAAATCAAAATGGCGGATAAAAACATGTTAATTTAGAGTGTAGCCTCTTTATAACGACATCAAAAAATAAAAAATATCAAATATTGGGCTTTTACGCGGTCTGGCATCTGTTTAATCATTTCTAAACTGGTTATAAACTTAATTATTCTTGTAAAAATGCCGATAAATATTTCCTGAAGTCTAAATATGAATTCTGCGTCGTTCAGTTGTATTCACTTGTGTTATGTTTAAATGATTTTCTAGTAACGCAACGTGCACCCCAACAAATTAGCTGAAAAATCGTGCTTAAGTTATAGAAATTTGCATTGCAATTTGTGGGGATGTTGGGATCATAATCACAACAGTATTTCAAATGTTACCATCGATGTCATGTCTTTGAAAAAATATTCTAGCTCAGAATTGCAAGAAATGAAAATATTTTTCATCGTTACACAGAGAAATTAATATAAACCAACCAAACTGTGCAAATTTCGTTGTTCAAAAGAGGCTACACTGTAATATATTAACAACTTACCGGAAACTATCTTCCAACGTTTATTACTGGTATCTTCCACTGGTGTATTAACGACTGATTGTTCAGAAGTGTCCATATAATCGGAGCCATTAAGTTCTTCATACATGGAATCCAAAAATGTCTGAACTTTTGTTTCGTAATCCATGTGTTCTTGTTGAATTTTCAAAGAATCTTCCATTTCATCACCTGGATAAGTCACCGCACGTCTATTTAACTCTTTAACAAAGCTGGACACATCATCTATGTCCATTAAAATAAGAAAACTAAAACATTTCATATTATAATTAATTTGAAATTAATAATAACACACAAACATACTTATTAATGAAATATTTCCTAAACTGTTCAGGAACAGTAACAAACAGCAATTGTTTCAACTTTTTGATCGCCTTCACCGTTTGTTTATGCAAATGTTTAAACGGAATACCACTGGTACTGCTACTTGATTGAATATCAACATCAGAAGTAGTTTTCTTCTTGTTAGACTTAAGCATTCCTTTAAAAATCTCGTCAAGCCACAGGGCAACACCAACGCGTACATCAGTTGTTTCTTTTTCATCCCCACACAAATAAAACAACTCTTTTAATAAATGCGGGAGTTTATTGTGCTTTTCAATTAAAGTTATCAAGTTAGCAAGGTTGTAATAAGTCGCAGTTGCATTATTCTTTTTATCTAAAATAATTTCACCTTAAAACACATAAAAAACAAAAAAATATTAACATTTTACTTACCAATGAGTGTGTTTGGATGAACAGTATAAAAATGACTATGAATTATCTCATCAATACATTTATCCCACTCATAATCACAGAGATAAGTCAACTGTGACTCTAATAAATAAATAATCGCCTTGGGATACTCATCAAGTTGACCCTCAGCATCAACTAGTTCCAGTTTATTCTGTATAAACTCATCATAGCACAAATTCTTTGCATCATACTCAAATACATTGCAATATAAACCCATCAACTGATGGACATCTAATGAACATGAACCCATTTTTGCTTCCACAGTATTAACACCACTGATGATGTTATCAGACATAGTGGCAAGTTCAGGATGCCAGTAGGTTGTCTCCAACCATTTGAAACTCTCTTTCAGTGCCAAGTTTAGAAGTGAAATGCTTGGTAACTTTTGACTGTGTGCGAAATCATGTCTAATGCTGATAATCCAATCAGGAATACAATTATCTCGCGCAGTACGAGTGAAACTGTTAACTTGCGCGCGATGAGCTACGCAAATGTTAAGAAAACGCATTATACTTGATGCACAAAGTATTTGATACTGTCTCTCGGTTAAATTCTCTTTTTCAATCAAAATTGCTTCGAGAATGCATAATGTGCCTTCTACTCCGCTTGGAAGGTGAGTCGTACGCATTTGCCATGTAGTTATCGTGTCTAATCCGCGTTTCTGATCGTCTTTCGTTGAGTTTTTGGAGAAAATTAATTGATATACGTTTTGCCATTCCGCACTAAAATGGATGAAGGTTAACAATGTTTTTTGAAGAAAAAATAGGTTTAAGTGAATGAAAATGATACTTACGTGTTGTACCATGGTACAATTGAGTACCCTTTGTATTTCTGGGTGCTTGACATAGTCACATTAATTAATTATATTAAGTTTTTAAACAATTTTGAAGATCGCACGTGTAGTGTTTATTTCAGAAACTTTAAATTTAATTTCATAGATGGCGCTACAATGTCAAATATAAGATTAATAATAATTTTAATAAAAACAAATTTAACTGAATAAAAATAATATTTACAGATTTTATTATTGTACAAATAAATACTATTTGTATTTCTGTGTGTTTTATATAATTACATTCATTTGAAAAACAATTTTAAGCTAACTTATATTTTGCATTTTTAAAACTACAAATTATGATCGATAGATGGCGCTGCAATGTCGAATAAGTTGCATGAAATCAGATAACGCGTCCATATCGGTCAAAAATATTGCAGATCGTTGTTTGTTTGCATTCCGCACAATCGGTCGTGGAATGTTGAGGCCGCGTGTTGTGAATTTAAGAACCGTGAGAAACAATTAGTGCAAGTGCCAATTAAGCAGTATCCGACCATCGGGAACAAGGTAGGAATTCAAACAATCATTTAGTCTCGTTTTACAGTTTTATTAGGTACACAAAATTTACAAATAACTAATTCGAATTATCAAGATAATTGTGTGTATTGTGTTTGTGTAATGAGTTTTGTTTCGTGTTTTTTTTGACTATAAATCCCATATTCGTATCGTAAATGTCGTATGCATGAATACAAAGTTGCACATTTATGCAATGCGCGGTTTACAGACAACTAGAGAAAACAAAACGCCTCACAAATATTGAATTTATCTTTCGGTGCGATTGCAACGGTCATTCGATAAGTGTAACCGACGCCACCTTGAACGAGGACTTGAACTGAATATTGCTACGACACGTTTATGCTTCCTCGCAAGTAGAGAGTATTATTAACATGTGATATGTTTGAACAACAAACACTAAATTGTAAATTGTAAGTACGTCGTTACCATCATCTACAGTTTACTTTTATTTTTTTATTTTTGCGTTAATATTAAACATTCGAAACACTAAGTAATAGATTATGACATGTTTGGCTTTAAGTTTCTGCGCGTTACAATATGGCGGCTTCCGCTTCACCCTCTGCATTCACATCTTGTGTATTATTATGCAGCCCAATATACGCTTAGCTATCGCTAGTGATTTAATACACAATATAATAATGGAATATTTATAATGGTAATTAAATACATATTATAATTATAATACTGTACATATCATTGTTATACTAAGAGACATTGTTATACTCGCTCATTCGTTCCGTGTTGATAAAGATTTCAAGTGGTTTTTGAAGCGAAAATTCGGCGCATTCAGCAATTCATGCATACACACTAAAGATTAAATAAAATAAATAACTTAAATTCGTATATAAACAATGACCATCCATTAATTTGTGAGATTTTGTTTGAAAAGTCGAAAAATTTCAGGGTTTTGTTTATGTATATAAAAAAGCTGTACAAAATAATATAGGTTATGGTACAAAACGACGAGTAGGGTTAGTTAACCTGAACAAAACGCACTTAAGTCGGCTGAAACGCTTGATATACTGATATAGTGATAGAAATAAATCACAGGGCATTAGTTAAGTCACCAATGCTAATGTACTAATATGGCAACAATGAAGCAACATGAATATGTCTGCTTTTTAGTTTAAGTTTTGATGATTTTGTTTCGATTTCGATTCTTTTTCTTGATTATATATCGTTTAACTGCTCATCTCACTCTGTAGGTGAGTTGTGAGTGTGTTTAGAAGTGTTGGTTTGCGTTGTTTGTTCTATTTTCTGTTTGTTTACTTTCGGTTGTAGTTGGTATTTCTTAGTTGTTTTTGCATTCGCGCGTTCGACGACGGAAGCGCCGCATGCGCTGGTCCCACGTCTCCTGCCATTCGATGACGATGGACCGCTGTGTCACGCCGAGCTTATCAGTGATGATTCCGGTTGGCGAGTCGTCTTTTTCTCTTCCCAAAATTAAGTACGATCTAGAACAATCATAATTTGAGTTGAAAGTAAAAATTTAGGTAAAAATTTTAATTTTCGCGAAAATTTTGTTGAAATTTTGAAGATTTTATGAAAATGGCGGATTTTTCGATGTTCAAATTGATAATAATTGTTGATAATGTAATTATCAACCGTCTGGTAGAAGGATTTTAGTAGATATTTGTATTCTGTTGGTTTAAAACATGAAAAAGTAAGAAAAAACCTAGTTTTTATTCAGATTTTCGACTTTATCACTCTTGAAACATGAATATCTCAAAAAATATAGTTCTGAATACTTTCAAATTGATAGTAGTTGTTGATAATGTTATTGTCTACAGTCTGCAATAGCTGAAAATGGTATTATATGGCCTAATCCGTCATAAACTAGCCGAAAACTTCGTTTTTGCGACTAATTTGAGCATTTTCCGTTCTTAAAACACTAATATTTCAAAAACTACATTTCCGATCATTTTAAAATTGTTAACAGGTATTGTTAATGATAGTATCTGATATCTGCTGTAGTCTAAATTCATATTATTTATTTTAATCAGTCAAAAAGTAACAAAAAACCTCAATTTTGCGCCCGAATTGAGCATTTTTTACTTAAAAACACAAATATCTCGAAAAATATTCCTCAAATCTTCTAAAAAATTATTTTGAGAGTTAAATATGGTCCAGTACTTACTTGTTCAGTTTGATTTTGGGACATTTACATGCCAGATCCGAAACGGGCACGACGAGAACCATGGTGCCTTTTCGGATGCGCGAGTCGCGGCTTTTCTTGTAGATGGACTTGACGTTGACCATGAACTTCACCCAGCCCTTGGTGTGTTCGTCCTCGCCGTCCACTGGGCTTAGGATTTGTGCCATGATTGCTACACACGCATCAACAAAATTAAATTTCATTTCATTTCATTCTCTTCTCAATTAACTCAAAAAAAAAAATATTCTACAACAAAATCATTACCGTAGTCCCTTTTGCAGTACTTTTTTTGATTGAGTCGTCTTGTAGCGGCCTTGCACTTTCCACATGCTGTAACAAATCAAGCACAGGTAATAATCAACACTACTTAATACGTAACTATTATTAGTTTACGACTGGCAGCGTTAAAATGCAACTGAAGATGATAAAAAAAGCAGCGAAATCCTCGAAATTCATTCCTAAGCTTATTACCAATCGTCCATCATAATTACGATGATGAATACGCCATTTTACGAGAAATAACTCACGAGCGCGGCGCAGTCGAAGGCGCATCGGATTTGATTTACAGTTATTGCGCAAGCAAACGCCGAAGACGTGCCAGCCATCGTAAAACAGATTTTACAGCGACTTTTTTTTCGTTTTCACGATCGGCTTAGCATTTTTATATCAGCGCATGCATTAACGCAGTTAATGACGTTAAATTTACAATAAAATTTAATAAATTCGAAGTGTAAGCTACGCATGAATAACTCCGAAGAGGTGTTGTTGATAAATCAAGTTCAGCAGGCGGTTTATGTCGGAAATTAAAATTTCCCCATCGCAACACTTCTTAAACGTGGCAGGAAACAAATGTGTATAAGAGAAACAAAGGGGCTGGATGTATAAGGTGTGTTTTTACGAATGGGATTACGCATTGGATAATGGGAAGACGTTGCGCGTATGGCAGGATTAAATTAAATTTATTATCAAGCAAGAGAGCTTGAATAGCTGCGGAGGGACGCCGAGAAGAATGTGTTTTAAAGTGAAAAGTCAATTACAGAATTGTGCTACCCTTATTGTGTGCAATGTGCATGCCGCCCCTATTGTTACAAGGGGTGCAAAACTATCGAATATCAAGGGGTTTGCTTGGTAACCTTTGTAATTTGTTTTTTTGGAGGTTTAATGTGTTTATTTATTGAATTATGATAGTAATTTGGTAGAAAATGTTTGGAGTTGTGATTTTTTATGTTAGGAATGATTGGGGGTAAAGGGTTTTTTATTTGCATAAAAATTATTTGGTTAAAAATGAGAAATTGTGTGAAAAACGCGAAAAATTTTGATTTTTTTTCGGAAAGTCGTAAAAATTTGATGGATTTATAAGTTTTTAGGAAATTTTTTTGTTGTATCTTTTGTATTGCATAATTATAAATAATACCTGAAAGTTTCAGGTCAATAGTCAAATATTTCCAAAAGTTATTCGAGTTTTTATATACATTTCTATGAAATTTTGCGTTTTTACTATATTTCTGTTACAATTTTGACGATTATGTGAAAACTATGGCTCCGATTATTATCAAATTCATACTATTTATTAATTAATATATAAGTAACAATATCCTAGAGGGATTTTAACATTACATGAATATTATTTTCTTAAAAATGGAAAATAGAGTGAAAAAGTGCCGAAAAACGCATTTTTACTAAATTTGTGTTACAATTTCAACGATATTATGAAAACTATTACTCCGATCATTGTCAAATTCATAATATATCTTTACTAATGTGTAATTTATAATATCCCCAAAGGATTTTAAATTTGAACCAAAAATATTTGATATATCACGAAAAAACTACACAAAAATTCACTAAAACCGAAAAAACAGCTTCAAAAATCCTGTTTCTAGGTTAAATAATCAATATAAGTTGAAATTAATAAACATTACCAACATTTCCGCCTATTTACATAATCATTTATTATTTATTCATATAAATTTCACATTTACACACACTCAAAACCAAAATATCAGCCGTAACTCATCCGAAAACCAACGCAAACTAAAACTCCACTCGATACACAACCGAGTCGAATAGATTCGATTTTAATTAATGCACGATAATTAAAATAGTTTAACGGCTAATTGCAATGGCCTGCAGGCGCGCGCAGCCGGTGCCCCATTAGCATTATACTTTTCATCGGCGCGCGCGCGCGCACACAATAATTACAACGTTACTCATTACTCTCCTCTTCTCGAGTTCGATGATGTTCAAAGATGCTCCATTCAAAACGCAAACAGCCGACAGCGCCATGAAATAATTCTCTCACAAGATTCAATACACATGACAAGACGGTAGCGCGGAAGATTAACGTCGTAAAATCGACGATAAAGCCCCGTAATTATCGATTAGGCAACCCGCGTCGCATTAATATTCATCCATGTAATATAATATTATACCTATTATAGTTTCACGAGCAACTTGTTGCTTCATTATTTCAATCAACTTGAAGTGTATCGCATCTTAAAAGTAGAATAAAAAAAGAGAAAAGAAAGTTGAGTTACATGTGAGTAACTCAATTCAAGTAAACTCAAGATTTTGGAATATCTAGGGTGAAAATTGAGGGTGAGGGTATGCAAACACACGGGGAGCGTGTTTAATCGCTGGAAAATCCCCGCTAGTAGACTGGGGATTCAGTATTTCCTCGAAAAAGAGGCGGGGTGCGGGGTATTCGAGCGGAAAAACGCAAATTGGAAAAGTTTTTCTTTTTCGCATTGTAGAAATTGCAAAAAACAAGCTTTAATTTTAATATTAAGTCGGAGGGAATTCAGGTTTATCATTTTTGAATTATCCGAGTGTAAAATTTATTTTTTTCTACTTCCACCAATTTTTCCACGATTTCCAAAGACGAAAAATCAGATTTTAGTCACGGGCGGCCAAAGTCGTGACTAAAGTACTTTAGTCACGGGGTGGAGCTAGCGTCTGCGCATTTGTCTACGGTGCAGTTGAATGTTTTAGAATAAAAAGTTCAAATACAAAAACTCACCGTGAAAATAAAGTAGAAGTAGAAAAACGTGAATTAAGTGTCGTTTAGCGCACTTGATACTTAATATACGCATACTAAAAAGTCAGCATTTTAAAAATTGATATTTTATTGATATTATCCCGATAAAAACAGGGGGAGAAAATTGATATTGAGATATTTAAGGTTATGATCATAAAAACCTCAATTTTTTAGGTTATAAGGGGGTTTATTTTATCTCTCGTCTTTTCGAGTTCCTGCTTGTTTATTTTTCCGCTTGAATAAATTTTCTGGAAATTTTCTTAAAGAATTAGCGCCGTGTCGCGTTAAAATTAAATTTCTGGTTTCGCTTTCAAGTGTTTCAACCCGAACGCATCGCAGCCGTGCATGAGCAATTAGTTTGATTCGATCAAAACGAAAATACCGCCCGCCGGAGGTACTCGGGTGCTTTTAGCTTACTCACCACACTTTTACAACCCCTGGTGGTGATAAAATAAAATTGGCATCGGGATTGAATCCGTTACACACTCGCGTCGTGGGCCAAGTCGTCGTTTCGGTAAATGCAATTCGAAAGTTTAGCCAATTCTTAGGAATTGAACGAAAGTTGGGCGTAATGTTTGAATTCAAATTTTTCCAACCCTCAACCTCAACTAAAGTCTGCGCGAAAAATCTCAGCGACCTTATATTAGGAGGAGTTATAATTGAATCAATTTCGATTTGTTTTCGTCGTCTGATTTGAATCTTATTAGAATTATGAGGAGGCCAACCACCCGGGAGATTCTACGTAGTTTTTAAGTTTTTTTTCTTGCAAACCAAAAATAAAACGAGAAGCCACTTACTTACCCCCGCCCGATGATGAGGACGCGTCGGTTTCGTAGTCGTAGTCGTCATCGTGATCGTCACGTTGCATTGATACAACAGGAATTCCTGAAATATTAAATTAATCAAACTTTAAATACGAAAAATCACTTAAGTCACATTTGAATCGCGCTTTTGTCTTGTATTTTTAAAAATTTGGAATGTTTTTAATGCTAAAACATGCGTAATTTATTTCTTTTTGATACAGTATATTTGCCAATGCTGTATATTTAATATTTTCGGAGATATTTCAATTTTTTCAAAAAAAATTTTTATCAAAAACTATTTTTCTCCTTTGTGCTGTGAAATATCGGTATTAATATCACTATACCGGCATTTTTTAATTAAAATATTAAAAAAAAATGGGTGATACATACCGGTATTAGGTGTGTGAAATACCGGTATACCGGTATTAGGTGTGTGAAATACCGGTATTAATATTGGTATACCGGTATTTTTTAATTAAAATATTAAAAAAAAATGGGTGATACATACCGGTATTAGGTGTGTGAAATACCGGTATTAATATTGGTATACCGGTATTTTTTATATAAAACTAGCGACCTGCCCCAGCTTCGCACGGAAGTAAAAAACCGCATCAAAATCCGTTGCGTAGTTTCAATGATTTAAGCATACAAAGAGACAGACAGAGAAAGCGACTTTCCTTCTCCAAACAAAAACATCAACCGGTCAACTTCAACCCACACGTACACACAAACACACGTCTATGCTTGGAGGGGGAAGCTACGAAGCATCGCACAAAGAGCAGACGGGAATAATCGAAAACTTTGTATTTACGACATCACATTAGAAACCTCAAAAATAACAGTACTTCTCCACTATTTAATGGATGTTATTATACATACAAACCTTCCTCTTGAATCACTCTATCTATTAAAAAAAACGGCATCAAAATCCGTTACGTAGTTTCAAATATTTAAGCGAACAAAGGGACCGGAAAAAGAGCGACTTTACTTTATACTATGTAGTGATATTAAAAATTTGGATTCAGTGATATAAATATATATAGATATCCTGGTATACCGGTATTAGGTTTGTGAAATACCGGTATTAATACCGGTATACCGATATTTTCAATTTAAAAAAAACCGATATTAAACCCTAAAATACTTACTGATACATGGTGCTATCTGTGACTGACTCTGTTGATACCCCTTCGCGCAACGATTACAAGTAGTCCCAGTAACGCCATCTTTGCACGGACACTGCCCGGTTGCCTGGTTGCAAGTCCTACCGGACGATCCCACCGGATGACAAGCGCAAGCTGTAACCAACAAAACCTCAATCAAAAAACATGTCAAAACTCACACTGGACCAAATCGCCGGAACCCCACTAGAATATTTCATCTGTGGGGGCATAGGTGGTTGTTTGGCAACCTTCGTCGGCTACCCATTCGACACAATCAAAGTCCGCACGCAAACCCTACCCGCAATAGACAACAAACTCCCAACACCCGGTATAGTAATGAAGAACCTCATTAAAAAAGAAGGTATCCTTGGATTATACCGTGGGATACTAGCACCTTTGGCAACCATCATACCCAACTATGGTATGTCCTTCTGCACATACAAAGTGTGCAAAATATTCATAGGACCACGCGAACATGAATTACTAGAAACCCAGGATTATTTTATTTCTGGGTGTACATCAGGGTTTTTTACAAGTTTCATCCAAGCACCTGCTGATAGAGTGAAGGTATTGTTACAAATTCAAAGGTTACATAGTCATAAAGAAGACGCCCTGAGTGCTAAAGAGGTTATAAAAAAATTATACAAAGATGGCGGATTGAAGAACATATACAAAGGTATAGGTGCCACTTTACTGAAAGAAATCCCCGCGAATGGAGCTTATTTCGCAACATATGAAACCCTACGTGATGGTATGACCAACAGAGGACGGGAAGCAACCACTCCTAGAGTAGCAATGATAGCTGGAGGTACAGCTGGTTTAACATATGCAATTCTAGTTGCACCGCTAGATGTACTCAAGAACCGCGTGCAAGCTGCTAAATGGGATGCCTACCCTCGAGGGGTAAGAGATGTCCTACCTGAATTATACAAAACCGAAGGTCTTAGAGGGTTTACCAGAGGGTTAACTCCTGTTTTATTACGAGCGGTACCTGCGAATGTTGCTTGTTTTTTCGGGTTTGAAATGGCAAGGCAACATATACGTGGACAGTGTTGGCTCATGGAGTGTCTCTGGACAAAATGAGAGAAAAGAGGTTATGTCAAGGAGATAACATTGTTGTGTGGTTGCACAATTCGCACCGCTTCAAGTGTGGGAACGAGCGGAGATCTCGAGAGATCGTGCGGTGCGCATGTCGAAATTTATCTGCGCATGTATGCAAATGAGGTTATGAAGAAGGCGCAGGCGCGGTCTTGTTAAAGGTATTTCGCAGACAAATACAACAACTTCATAACCATTCATTTTGTTGTTTCTAGTAAAAAATAAAATACGCGTAATAAAAAAAATTGAGACATGTCGTTTAGTAAATTTTAATGATGTTTACTTAGGTTTTAAGTGTAGTTGAGTTGAAAACTGAAACATTTGAGGTTATTTATTGTAGTTTTGTTAAGTACAAAAGTTCGTTAGTGGATGTGCATTATTCACATTGCTACCGTTTCGTTTTGTCTTTTGCGTCGTGTTTCTCGGAGTGAAAAGTGGCGAGCGAGGCGTTTCTTGGCGAGAATCTTGCGATCTTTTAAATTTTTTTGTACTTTTTGCTTGTGCTTGGTCTTGGTCTCTGCGCACGGGTATAATTTATCATTGCTGCGCCTATTTGAAGGGACGAGCATAAAAATAAAGAAATAAATGAGAACGTTTGTGGAATTTCTCGGGTTGTTTATTTTTTAATGTATGCAACCAATATTACATTCACGAAATGTAATACTGTTTGTTTTGTGGAATTTTGAGTGCAGTTTTGTGAAATTTTCTCGTGAGTTAATCGTCGATAAATAATAAACGTCTTTGTTTCGCCGCGAGATAAGTCAATTATCGGTGGATGGCGGTAAGAGGCAAGAGTAAGCATGAGTACGAGTACAACCGCCATTTACGTGTTGCACGATTTATCGGTTATTAAAAATATGTGTTTGCTTTGGCTACCATGTATGCTACTATGCTAACTGAGTTAATGGAAGTGAGTGTCTTAAATCATACGTGTATTACACGTTTGTAGGTACTAGGAGCAGATGAAATTACTCCATTACACAATTATCGTGGTTTTGCGCGTGACGCCATCTATAGTATGAATTTTAATAATATTTAAGGCTTATATTTTCTTTGTATGCCTGTGGGGTATGAATGGATAAGAATTAATTATGATGGTTTTGTTATTTATATTCAACTGAACTAGTAAAGTCCTTTTTTGGTTTGATTTTATAACCAGAAATAGAAAATAAGAAATATTTCGTTAAAAAAATTATAAATTTTTCGCGATTTCTCCAAAACTATTGCACCGAATGTAATTAAACTTGGTACATTTATTTGTTTATAGTTTATTTATGATCTGGTCAAAGAATTTTATCATTTAAATCAAAACTTTTTTGTTTACGGTCAAAAATGTAAAATAAAAAAGTTGTTTTTCACATTTCGTCGCTTGAGGATTCTTAAAAAATTAAAAATTAATGTATTTGTTAATGACAACTTCATTAAAATTGATGTTGTCACAGTTAATTAAATAAATATTAAAAAATTACTGATTATTGTTCGATTTTATAACTAGAAATACGAAAAAAGTAAAATTTTTCGTAAAAATATTCAAATTTTCGCCATATTTCCAAAACTATCACACCGAATGCAATAAAATTTTGCAGATTTATTTATTTATGTTTTATTTATATTCAGGTCAAAAAATTTCATAATTTTAATGATTATTTTCATACTTAAAAGCAAAAAACCTTCAAAACATAAATTTTTTACCTTTACAGATTTTCACAATCGATAAAAACTCAAATATCACGTCTAAAAGTATAAGAATTATGAAACCTTTCATTATTTATATTTATCCAAAGCAGCAAATCCCCCGCGGGATGTTTTATCAAGGTCATAATTTGTGTGTTTTGCAGCTAAACACGGGCCCCAACGGCAAACAAAACAACTCAATTTAACTTCTCTCTACTTTATACTCATACTCATATACAAACTTTGCACCGTATACTCGTACTCGTGCATTAGCGACCTTTTTTCTCTGCGTGTATAAATAACGCATTAATTTATTCGACCGTGCCGCCATTAACACCTGGGTCACCTGGGGAGTTGTAAACCGAATTAATCTCCAATCTTTACGCGAGTTCACGTCCACACATGCGCAAACGCACACCAATTCTTACTTTGGAGATCCTTAAGTTAAGTTAAGTTAAGTTAATCCTTAAGTGTAATTTGCATCGCGCAGCAGGATGAAGATAATGAGCAGCTAAGCTGAGCTAGGCTTCATGAATGAGTATTAAAATGAATGAAATCAAAATAAAAAGAAAAATAAAAGAAAATGAGAAAATAAAGAAATAAAACGCGAATGTTTCTGAATGAAGCGGCTGAAAGTGTTTACATAATGAATTGTCGTCATCTCGTCCGGCACCGATAATTAAATGTTAATCAATTAAGAAATTATTCAATATATAATCAAGTAAAGTTAATTTTTGTAAAAATTATTTCGTGAAATTTAATTTTTTCGATTATAAAATGACTTTTGAAGCATTTTGGGTTGCCTACATTAAAAATCAGATGATTTCTCATATTCTAGGTTATGTAAACCAACATAACCTCATCTATAAACTATTTTATCTTCTATAATAACGAATTCCATTAAAAAATTAAAACTTTTAAGAATAATTCTGATATTTCAGAAGAAAACCAACAAAAAAATAAAAAAAAATCATAAAAAACTTAAGTTACACTTTGAACTTGACCAGATTATAGATTTTATTCCTCCGTATCTAAATGCCTCCATGCATAATGATGTTTAATCAGAGCTCTCTTAATGTCCACGTCTGTTCGGCTCTATTTCTGTTTCGATATCTCAACATACGCGTCCAAGAAAGACAAAAAACCATCACACACACACGCTTATACTCATGGCTGCCGTAAAGAGCAATACACATTAATTGATGCAAAAATAGTTAGCGAACGGTGCAATGAAATTCGAAGCACCCAACAATCCGGTACGTGTATATTTAACCATGCTGTGGACTAGTGCCTACAAAACACAACCTACTCGTACAAACATCTCCAACCGTCCCACTGAAGAAGTGAGTTGGAACACAAGTTTCACACACCGCATGCAACTTGCACAGTGGAATAAATGAATGAAGTTTATATATAGTCAAGTCGCCCAGAATAGATCAGTGATATTTCACTGTGTTTATTGATGTGGTGGAAATATCTGGGAATGTGGTCTGGACTATATACTTCATAGTGAGTTCAATAAAATCGAAACTAATTAAAAGTCCACTCTCATTACAACAAACACTTGCGACTTGATAGTGTCTCGCAGACGCTGATTCGTCTCGCACCGCGTGAGCTTATTACAGCCCCGACGTGTTTTTCAGCGTATTACACCTGCGTTGGATTAAAATAAATACGTGTGGCGTTTAAGGTCGGTGCGAAAAATTGCAGGGGAGGGTGTTTACGGGGCGTATAGAATCAAGTAAAGCATTAAAATGTATGAGTGTGTGTTTTGGTCCTTTTGTGTGTTATCTGTTGCTATCTATCTTTATGTCGCGATGGAGACGACACGCTGGCACTATCTCGCCGGCAATTAATCGACGAGGGTAATTCTGGAAATGCTGCAGCAGGCGAGAAGATATCGCGCCAAATTACGCGACGTGTTGGAATTATTATAATTTTATGTATCGTCTGGAAGACGGGAAGAATTAAAAGCGTATAATTGAATATTAAGGTTATTAGCGAAGTGGAGTAGATGGTATCAAGGTTAATAGGATGGATATTATAAGATAAAGAGGGTTTTTATAGCGAGAAATGTGAAAAATTGAATTTTTGGAAATATTGACAAAGATTTTTCGTTATATCTTGAGAATTATCGTACAGAATGTAATGAAACTTTGTAGGTTTATTTGTTTATCTTTTATTTATGATTTGGTGAAAGAATTTTTCGATTTGGATCAAAACTTTTCTTTTTATGAGCAAAAATCTAAGAAAAATTAATTTTTCGTTTTTCGGTTTTTAAAAATCAATAAAAATTAAAAATTTTATTTTTTGTTAATAACAAGTTCTTTAAAATTAATATTATCATAGTTATTTGGAAGAATATTAATAGTTTATTGATTTTTAATCGATTTTTTGACCAAAAATGCCAAAAAAGTTAAATTTTCGTAAAAAATTCTTAAAATTTTCGCAATTTCTCCAAAACTATTACACCGAATGCAATTAAATTTTGTAAATTTATTTGTTTATATTTAACTCATGATTTGGCCGAAAAATTTCATCATTTTAATCATTACTTCTCAATTTATGACCAAAAATATAAAAAATTACTATAATTATTAAAATTTGCAGAATAGAAACATTAATCATACTTGTGTGCCGTTCGTACTTGAAACTCTTAACCGTTTTCCGTGAATAAGTGTAAAACAAAGCAATAAATAATCGCAAAGCATCCAAGCTAATTGTTAGTCAAAACATACTTGCGTTTTAATTTACGAGCATGAAACGCGAATGAAACAAACACGTTGACAATGCCACGACGCTTATGCGCTGCTTGCTAACGAATATTAAAATTCCGTCCTCGAAGACACCGCTCGGACTGAAAAAGGGTGAAAATGTCGAGAACGAGACAAAAAAATGCGCTGCATAAAATAAATTATTCGCTTTGTTTAAATTTCAGTCTGTTTTTGCTCAAATTGTTGCGCAAACAAGTCTTCTACGAGTATCTACGAGTTTGCTATGTTTTATTTGTGTTATTTGTTTTTACGTTTTGTGTGTGTGTAACTTTTGATGACAACTTTCATCATCGAAGCGTGAGCCGCCGACCGCCGGCAAACATCGCCTTCGACAGGTTGGCAATCTGCACGATCGTTTGTTTAACGTCGTTTACCAGTTGTAAACAAGCGTTTGGAAATCATCGATTTACAGAGTTTCTCACAAATGTCACAGGCAGAAAATGATATTTGTATTTTTCAAATATACATAATCTAGTACCTACAATTCGTAAAGTGAAAAAGTTAACTTTATTCCAACGTTTTTTGCTTATAAATCGA